CCACGCTTGGTTCTTTTCGCATGCTTGCGCTCAACTTTTATGCGATTTCTGGTGCCTCCTCTGACGATGTGATCTTCAGCCAGAATCAGGACTACCTCGCTGCCATCTTTGAGTTTGCAGCCCAGTACACTGCTGATCACCCTGTGGTCCTTGCCGGCGATTTCCAGGCCGACCCCTTGGCATACGCGGCGTGTGACGATGCTGTTGCTACCGGGGTCTGGCTGGACCCCTTGCAGCCTCCGACGGAGGCGACTATGAGGGAGCCCACTTTCAGTCGTGACAAGACCTGGCTTGGGTCTGGCCCCCGTACGGCCATCGACACGGTTTTGCTCAACGGCCTTGCTTCTCGCCTGCTCCAGTCGGCTGAAGTGGAGCCCTTGTGTGGCTTTCAGCATGCCCCTGTGACCTTGAGGTTTGCGGCTCCGGATGAGGTCCCACGGGCTATTGCCTTCGCGGCCTTTGCTCCGCTCGACTTGTCTGGGCTTGTCTCTGAGGACCAGCGTGCTGTTCTTGCCGAGGACATGTGGCAGTCCACGTACCGGCCCGCCCTGGATTCCCTTGGAACTGTGGAGGATGCTTGGTCTCTTTTCTGTGACTTTGCGCTTGCCACTCTTCTCCAGTCTGCTGCCCGGTGGGGGCGCGGCCGCCGTTGTCGGGGTACCCTGCCCCCGCTGCGCCCCCAGCAGGCCGTCGGGCGCCCCTTTCCTTCATACCATCCCATCGCCCGCTTGGCTAGACTTCTGTCTCTGTCGCGGGAGCTCTTCTATCGGTTGGTGCGGCTCCCGCTTACCTCGGTTGCTGATGCTCAGGTCACGCACCGCACCCTTAGGCGCTTTTGCCGTGTCGCTCGGGAACTTCGGTTTGCCTATACGGCTGAGGACCTCACCCCGGTGGGTGTTGCCCCTTTGTGTGAGAGGGTTGAGGCTGCCCTCCGTGATGCCCACCTCACGCGGCAGCGAGCCGCTGTTGCGCGTTGGAAGGAGCGTCTCCGCCATTCGGCCCTTCACTCAGGTAAGGAGGTCTTCGCTCACCTGCGCAGTGCCACCCTGGCTGCTCACTCCAACTCCCTGGCTGGTCCTGATGGTGCCCCGGCGTACCATCCTGCAGTCGCCCTTGCGCACGCTGCGGACCAGTGGAACACTATCTTTGAGGTGCATGCGGAGGACTTTCCTGTGGATCCGCTCATGCGCCCTGTCCAGCATCTCCTTGAGCAGCGTGCCTCTCCCTTGGTTTTGGACCCCGTGTCTGCTGAGGACCTGGCTGCGTCTGTTGCTCGCAGGAGCCCTGATTCGTCTGCTGGCTTGGACGGGTGGAGGGCCGTTGAGCTCCGCGCACTGCCTATCCCTGTGTTCCGGCTCCTCGCCTATCTTCTTCAGCAGGTGGAGCTGGGCCGGTGGCCCATGCCGCGCATATTCGGCACTGCTCGCTTGGCTGTTCTGGACAAGGGTGCTGGCCCCGCCCCTCTGTCCAAGAGGCTCATAGCCGTCCTTCCTATCTGCTACCTGGCGTGGTCGTCGGCAAGGTTTCGAGCCTCCACTGCGTGGCAACGGGCTGTGTTACCGCCTGAGGTTGTCGGTGGTGTCCCTGGTCGCCGTGTGGAGGATATCACCCATCACATGGCGCTGGATTTCCATGAGGCGCGTGCCACTGACGCCCCCTTTGCGGGCATCCAGGTTGATCGCTCCAAGTGTTTTGATCGCCTTATGCCTCGGCAGATTGTGGCGCTCCTCACTACCTTGGGTTTCCCTGTGGCCGTTGCTCGCGCCTGGTGTGGGAACTACGATGGCTTTCGTCGCTTTTTGTCCTGGCGTGGAGCGGTTCACCCTGAGCCCCTGGCCAACCACAATGGTATTGCCCAGGGGTGCTCCATGTCCGTGCTTGCGGCAAATGTGCTGATGACAGCGTGGTCCCTCTTGATACGGCACTTCCCTGGTGTCACGCCCCGTGTCTTTGTTGATGACGGGTATATGACCGTGACCACCTTGGATGCGATCCCCAGCTTGGTCCAGGCCGTCCGTGCTACGTCTCTCTTTGACTCCCTCGCTGGCCAGCAGTTCAACCTCCACAAGTCGGTTGGTGGGCCACTCAGGATGCTTGTGTGGCGGAGCTTCAGCCTGCCTTGCCGCAGGCTCCCCGTCTGAAGGCCTTGCGCCCCTTGGGGGTCACAATCAACCTTGACCTCCGCGGTACCCGGGATGCCCGTGCACCGGCTGTTGCGAGCTTCAGGCGAGCACTCCGGGCCATCAGGAGCCTCCCGCTCTCTGCTGCTTCTAAAGCGTCCTATGTTGCCCGCAAGGCCATGCCCATGCTGTCGTATGCCGCTGAGCTCAACTTTGTGCCCAAGCGCATCCTTTCTGCCTTGGCTTCGGAGGTAGCCTCAGTGCTCTGGGATGGTCGGCCCATGTGGAGGTCCCGGGAACTCCTGCTCGCGGTTGTCCATCCCGGCCACTTGGTCCATCCTGAGTATGCGCTGCCATACCGCACTATTCTTAATGTTGCGGCCCATCTCCAGCGCTCGGAGGTTTTCAGCCTCAAGTGGCGGATCGCCTTTACCAATCAGCGCCTGCTGCCTTCCACCCTTGTGGCCACCTTTGTGTCGGCGCTCACTGCGTGCGGTCTCCGGTTTCAGGCCCCTGCCTCCGTTGCCTTTGATCATGGCCCCTGGCTCTCCCTGTTTGGCATGTCTCTGCGCTCGCTTAAGCGTTTGCTCCAGTGGACTATTCCTCAGCATGCCTATGCCAGGGCCTGCCGGGGCAAGCGTGCGGACATTGCGCATGGTCCTACTGGTCTCCTGGATGTGGCCTTTTCTCGCTCTCCCTGGAGTGTTCCCCCGTGTCCGCGGTGGACCTCCTTTTCCCGTCTCCTGCCCTCCAGGAAGGCTGTGGCCCCGGCGGTTGTTGTTGGTTCGGCTGTCACTGCGGACCGGCTCCATGCCTCGGGCCTGTCTGGTAGCCCCCTCTGTCGGTATTGTGGGCGGGAACAGGAGACCATTGGTCACCTCGTTGAGTGTCAGGCCCTGCCTGAGGAGGTTGGCACTCCCCCCCCTCTTGTTCCTGATCAGGGGCCTGCCTTCGCCACTCATGGTCTGCTTGAGGTCCCTGCCGATCTGCAGTCGGCGTTCTGTGCTGCCCAGCCGTGGCCTCCTACTTCCCCTTGGCCGCGCCATGGCCTTGGGCACGCCACTCACCTCTGGACTGATGGTAGCGTTTACTTGCCGCAGCACCCTTTCTTGGCCGCTGCCGGCTATGCCGTCGTGTCTGGGTCGCGCGCCACTGTCGATGCTGGTGCGGTTCCGGGTGTTTTTGCGGACAACTATCGTGCGGAGGTGTATGCCATTGTGCGTGCGGCCATGCACGCTCGGGGGCACCTGGTTGTGCATACCGACTCCCAGTCTGCCGTCCAGGCGTGGCAGGCAATTTGTGCGGCTGGTGTGGTTGCTCCCCACATAGCGGCTGCTGACCTCTGGCAGGTCCTGTGGTCTCTTGTCCGGTCGCGTGCTGTGGGTGGTTTCATCCTTGAGCTTCATTGGATTCGAGGCCATGTGGTCATCTCGGCTGCTACTCATCCAATTGAGGCCCTGCATGCTCGGTGCAACCATGCTGCTGACCTTGCGGCCAAGTCTGCCGCTCGGGTTTCCTTGGCTGTCCCTGCCCGCAGGCTTGATGCTCTCTTCTTCGCCACCTACCGCCGCCACTTGTGGTTGCAGAGCCTGTTTCTTGCCCTGCCGCGCACCCCCCTTCCCCCTGTGCCTGCCCCTGACCCTGGTGAAGCCCTGTGCCCTGTGGCTCCTGCCCCTCCCCCGGAGCCTGCACCGGGCCCGTGCCATGGCCCTCCGCGCTTCTGCGCTGCTTTTCCCCCGCCGGGGAAGCCTGATGATTGGGTTATGGGTGCCTCGTCCTGGGAGGCGTGGAGCAGCTTCCTTCATGGTGCAGTTTGGCTACGCGCTGAGGAGGCCTTTCAGCCGGGCCTGGCGGTTGCGTTGGTGGTGTGGAGGCGCTACCCCGTCATCCTGCCCTATCAGGACGGCCGCGCTGCCACAGTGCAGGACCTGCTGGTACACTTCAAAGCAGCTCGGCGTTGTGTCACCCGGAAAACCCCTCTTGCTTTTCCAGGCAAGTGGGAGCCCCGTCTGATTGCGTATGCGGGCCTGGCGTGGCCCCGGGGGGCCTTCTCTGGAGTGCGCCTGCTGTGCACTCCAGAGGAAGATGCCTTCCTAGAGCGGACTCGGATGCGGGCGGCCCGTCTGGGCCGCGTCCCTCGCGATTGGGCCTTTTCCCTGGGGTCCCTCGCTTGATGGTGCTGGTTGCAGTGGCGCTTGCGGCCTATGCCGCTGGGCCTACGTGATGTGGGCTGGGATGAGAGGGCTGCCTGCCCTTGGAGGCTGTTTCACCTCGTCGTGTGCTTTCTGCCACAGTCTGTGGTATGTGTCACTGGTGGGCACCTGTCCCACTAGGCCTGGACAGATGGTTGGGCGGCATGCCCCTCCGTCAGCCGGCGAATCGTCGCCCGCCGTGTGCCAAAAGGGTGCCCTTTTTTCCCATTACCACTGGTCATCTGAGATGTGTTAAAACGTTAAATGATGGACTTGAAAGTCATTTCTGGGTATGTGATGATGTGTGTTGCGGATCCTTTCCACTTACGACACCCTCCTTGGTGGATATCCTAATTGGCCCAGATTTGTTGCGTCCTGGGTGTGCCAGGTCGCGTGTTTGTTTTTCTCAATGACTACTTCCATTGATGATTTTTCAGGACACACGGCCCTTTCCAGCCTCAGGTTTGGCCTTGACGCTTAAGCCCCGCAAGGACGCACATTACTGGGTCCGAGGCGAAAAGGTTGCTAGTAGGCAGCTCTGGCAATCGACGTGTTTTGAGCGGGCAGCTCTGGCATTTGACGCGCTTCTTGAGGTGTGCCTTTTTTGAGGGTATGAATTTGGGGTTTGCTTTGAAGGAAACCCAAGGGACAGCCTGGGTTTTGGGGTTCGTCTTGGAGACACTCACAGGTCGCGCATGTGGCGCACGCGGCTTGGACGCCGATCCCCGCGAACTTTGCCGGCTTGCCACCGGCGTCTCGGCGGTTGGGCCTGGCGTTGCTGGCCGCGAGGCCGGGGAGTTTGGTGGAGACCATTCGGAGAATCGCCGTCGGGGCCCCGCGTTTGCACTTCGAGTCTACCCTCCCTCAGACCAAAGCGTTCTGGGAGCATCCACGTTAGCCCGGGGGAAGAGCAAGGCTGGGAGAAGGAGAACTTACCAGCCGGCACAGCACATGTCCCGGCTTTCATCCTTGCTGGGGCGGGTGCGAGTGTAGCAACACCATGGCTCATATTGTTCCAGATTCAAGAGGGAGGGGATATAGGTAAAAACTTCTTGGTACATCCAGGGGCTCTGCCGCAGTGATGGACGTGAATCTCACAAGTGCACTGAAGGAGAGCAGATGCAAACTTTGAGTTTCCCTCCGGATCGCAACACATTTTAGCCATGTCGGCTCCGTTTCAAGATGATCAAGCATATACAGATTTGCAAAGTAAAGAACAACCAGCGGAGACCAAGACAAAGGATTGTGCATCGCGGATCACGGATAACGTTCAAGAAAGAGAGAGAGAGAGAGAGAGAGGGAGAGAGAGAGCATGACTGCATGCTAAAGTTTCCTCTGTGTGTGTAGGCTGATGTATCGGTCCTGCTTTGCTGGTTTCCGTTGCTGGTTGGACGTATAATGCCTGGCCGTGTGCAGTGCCTTGTAGCCCTGTAGCTTCCCTCATCAAATCTTGCTTTACCCCCAGATGCCGAAAGGCCAGACGCACACATTGCACTGTAAGGCATCATGGCTTGACAAGAACTATAAATTTTGTAAAAGGGTCAGTGAGAAGGAAAGTGTAGCAGAATTTGGCCCACAGAACTAGCGACAACGGCTGACAGCGTGTCCACAGTTTAACGGACACATCAGTTGTGCCTATGCATTTGTTTGGTACATCCTCTCAAAGATTCATCCGCATAGCCGAAGTCAACAAGAGTTGCGCGTCCCAAGACTAGCTGGCAGGCGTGCATCAGCAACTGGAGCTGACAAAGTGGACTGCACATGCAGCCTTGGCTTTATCTGCCTTGTTGTGCTTTCGGCGCCAGGTTGCGGCGTTGCCAGCACCTTGGCGAGAAGGGCCAGGCACGTTGCTGGCTTCCTGTCAACAGTGAGCTAGCGAATGGGACAGTCTTTCGTGATGGTACCGTTTTCGGGGTTGTTTGCGCGGGTAAAGAGAGCCGCCAACTTTGGGGGGGCTTCCTCATTTGGAGACAAACCCTGGCCCAGCTTGCTGTGGAATTTGGGTATGACCAAAATATCTCTATACCATCCACCAATGCAGTAGCACGGTGCTCATTCCTGCATTCCCTATTGAGAGCAAGATCGGCAGCATTGACAAAGCTGGCAAATGGCGGGAGTACCCTGGTTTCCCTTTGATCAGGAACATGCTCACGTGTATCCCAGCAAGCACACCACTTGTCGTAAGCTTCCTTAAAAGTTATAGCAGGGTACCCAAGGGTGCGGGGAGAATTGTGAAAGAAGCTTACAGTCTAATGGGAAGTGGGTAACCTGCCTGCTTTACGAAACATCCAACATGCGCATGTGGATTACTGAGTATACTGACCATGAATGATTGCTTTCCATTTGGTGTCCTTTTGGCAAAGAGGTCCCATGTTATTGTCAACCTGTGAAAGCCTGCGTCGGTCCATCCCAAAGAGAATCAGCACACATTGCAAGAAAGAAGGCGATCCTACCGCAGGAGACAAGCAAGCCAATGGGGTTGAGGGGTACATTCATGATGCGCGGCTGCTGTTTGCTTGGACCTTGAACTTGAATATCATGGGACGAGCATCTGATTCCCACTTACCAGCAAGATTCTGAATTGTTGCACCTCACAACAGGCACGCCGAATCCTCATTTCGGGGCTTGTTGGGTGCCACCATTGCTGGGAGTACCATGCAAGCGGGTGTTCACTACCTCTACACCGAAACGAGGTGGTTCTTTTTTGTTTGTGTGTGTGGTGTGTGTGTGTATGTCAGTCTGTGCGTGTGTATGTTTATTTGCTGTGCTGAATAGTTCGGGAAGTCTGTGAGGTACTAAACAACTAATTATGTTTCTTTGTTGGAAAACAGAAGGGAAGGCATGATAGCGCGCCTTTCACCGTAGCCATACCCCCCACCACGGTGGTACACCACTCACCAGACTCAGGGGTCCCAGAAGTGGCTTGCCTCGTTGCTCCCAGAGGCGCCGTGTGGCGTCGCTGGATCGCCCAGTGAAACGGCTGCGTGCCAGGAGCCGCTCGAGGGGTGAAGGGCCGCTTGTGTAGAATGGAGCTGCACCAATTGCAGCAAGCTCTCCTGGGGGTAAAGCGAGCTCAGCCATGATGATGATTTGTTGCTGAAGGATCACTCGTTTCTAGTGGGTGAATTTATAGTGTTAGTGCAGAGGGAGATGGATGCCCCACGTGGGTGTCCCTCAAAGTGGAAACAGATTTCCTTTGGCTTTCCGTTTCCCCTCCACTCAAGGCGGGAGCCCTACCTATCACTCATGGGAGACTGTCAAACATAGACTTCAGTTCTTTGGGGACGACGCCCAAACATGCTTGGTGTATCCTTTTTCGCAGCCACAGAACCGGACCCCATGTGCAGTTGCAGGAAGCTTGCATATTGATACCTAGACAGAGCAAACGAAGGGTTTCACTGACGGGTCCTTCTTTGGATTTCCGTTCTGTGCCCAAGGTGGAACTTTGAGACGGACCACGGCAAAACAAAACATGCGAGAACATGCCTTCCCTGCTCGAGAAATGTCCGATATCGACTGCATGACCCACACTGAGACACCCTCAAACAGCAAATGCGGTTTCTTCGTCGGGTGTTGCGTCATTGCTGGCTCATAGATCCATGTCAATGTGGTGCAGATGCTGAATCCGCTGGGTATGTCATGGTATTTCCAAGTGCATGAGGTAGCCTGGCTGTCTCACGTACGTCGTACACGTTCCATCTGCAAGCTGCTGAAGCTTTATGAATACCGCAATATGTACCCTGCTGATCTAGAACGACCTTGCTGTTGTTTGTTGCGGAGCCAAGTGTTGGGCAGAGAGAGAGAGAGAGAGAAAGCACCCTGGAAATGTTTTGAAGGCATTTGGGGCTTCTCCTGTGCTTCATCGAAGGATTGGGTTATAGACGAACCTCGAGCAAGGCACATATTAGCGTGATTGCTCACCACCACGCACCAATGTGGTACATAGTTGTAGGGTACATAGTTGTAGGGCCTTTGATCCCCCTTTTCGGGAAGCAGAAGGGACCCCATTGAAGAGAAGTTCTACTCTAGGAAAGGTTGGATGGGCTCCCTGAATCTTCAACCAAAAAGGGATCAAAAGTCAACTCTGAGCGACATAGCTTGTTTGTAACGCAAAGAAGCCCCCGAAGGATATTATGGTATAATTCTATATACACTGTTTTGAGGTGATTGCATGGGAATTTGTTTGTTGTGAATCCCGGGTTTTTGGCAAACCGCCCTAGCAATTCACGGAAGGAAGCCCAAAGAGGTTCAGACCCCCAAGAAAACTATCTGCATGGGCCAATCCCTTGAGGCAGACTAGGGCAAACTATGGTTAAACAGCTGGACCCTGGCCCCTTTGGAAAGGGAAGCCGCAAAAGGGGGATGTTTAGAACCTCAGTTGTTCAGTGGCTCCAATTATTTTTCCATTTTTTTGCTGGCTGCCCCACTAAAATGGTCTTCCCAAAAAAAGGGTTCCCTTTTTTTCCAGGGTCACTGAACAACTGAGGAACAAGTAGCTGCTCAAACATCTGGGAAAAGTACAACAGAGACCTCACGAACGGCACAACCTTACACGATCTGACTCGTGAGTAAGGTTCCTGTCTCGGGTGTGCATATCTTTTGCTGGATGGCAGATCATCTTAATCCACCCACAAATCCTGGAAGGCAATCCAGAGTCCCAAGAACCACACTCTTCACTTAAAATGACCTGCAGCTTTTGATGCCACCCACCCTCGCGGCAGTGGGCCCCGCCTTTCGCTTCAGGAGGCGGCCGCCGGCGCCGGTGATGTCACAGCGCACCGCGCTGGAGCAAGCGCCCAGCACCTGGGCTCACCGGCCTGGCCGCCGGGCGTTTTCCCTTTTGGCCCGTTTTGGGGTTGACAGATCCAATGGTTTCTTTTTTTTCTTGGTGGCATGTCCCGTTTCTTGGTTTCCACACTTCAACTTTGACCCGTTTGGTGAGCATCTCGTGGAATCGGAAGACAATTATTTGCTTGGGCTCATCCAAACAGGAAGTTGATTGCTTAACAGTGTAAGAATGGAATGAAGTTTGTTAGGCTTTCCAAAACTTAGCAGGTATTAGTTTTCTTCGTTTGATTGTGCCCAGCGCATGTGCCATAAGCGGACATGTAAATTGAAAGAAGCCGTCGTTTTAGTTATTACCTGAGTGTTCCCAAGAAACCATTGAGCAAGCTTGATGTTGGGAGTTGTTTTTAATGGCTCGATTGGGGGTCCCCTTCTGCGAAAAGCAGAAGTGCTTTCTCCCTCGCAGTGGAGAAACAGGTATGCATGGTTCCTTGTTCAAGTTACGTTGTTGCAGAGCACGGGCACCTTCGTTGACTCACCAATTGATCCGTGAATGATTCCGAAGCTGAGTTCGGTCAGCCGTTTCTTTCTTTCCGTGGCTTTCCGGTGTCCGTGGAGTTCACACAAAAAGTCATCCAAACGGAGGCCAGCCGAGGTTTTTAGGTTGACAAGTTGCTAGGTTGGTTAATGTTTGCTGGTTGTTTTTTGAGCACTGAGGCCTGGAATTTCTTGGGACATGCCTTGCCAGCGGGCGGCTGGCCACCTGGCAAACAGACTCTAAGGGTGGGTCCGCTGCAGCGCTTTTGGGGCGTCCGGGTTCCCTTTGTACTAGTGACCTCTCTTATTTTCCACCTGGACTTGAGTGGCAACAAGCCGAATGAATTGTACTGCAGATCGCGGACAAGTAGACACTGCAAGCCTTGAAAATACCGGAAAGAGGCTGCGGCTATTCAAATGGGCCTTTGCATATCGGTCCTGAGGGAAGGCCCCAATATTCCCATGTTCATTTGGGAGTCGTTCTAAATTGCCAGTCTTAAAATTAAGTAAGGGAGGTTCTGAAGGTCTAGCGCGAAAGGAAAACACTGCATCGCGAAAGGCCGGCGAAAGGAATGCGAAAGGACTTGAAACATAACGAATACATGGTAGAACCCTCGTTTGGGCTCGGAAACAAGTTTTTCAGGACTGGTTTGTCACCGCGAAAGGAAAACATGGGGCCGCGAAAGGACCGCGAAAGGCCGCTTTTATTTTGAACAACCCCCATTTGTACAAAGGCCGGGGCAAGACCGAATTCCTGCTCGCACCTCCCATGGTCCCATGCCTGCTTGGAGGTCACCGTCCTCAAAAGGGAACCGATGTTGGTTTCAGGTTCAAAGTGCACGAACATGCGACTGGGTTTGACTCAGCTTTCTCGCTTGGTCTACAAGGCCATGCGGGAAAGGTCGAACTGCGAGCCTCCCAATTGCCCTTTGTGTTTGCCTGACCTTCTTGAATCAGCCGGTTAGCCTTGCAGGCAAAAAAATGAGCTTGTCACCCCAGAGCTGAAGAACCCGGGCGATGGTCCATGCCACGCGATAGGAAGCAAGATGAGCACGAATCAAATTCTTCTCATGTGTTCGGGCTTCCCAGCAGATGCTCATTTTTCAAGAGCCCTGTGTCACGATTTCCCTTCCAGGAGACCACAGTGGCTGGATGATAATTGCCTTTTTCCAAAGACCACGGCTTTGCAACCCACGACTTGTCAGTTTCTTTAATGTCCCCCTACGATCCAGGTTTGGGGGTCTGCCCATGCCATTTCTGCCAGCCGAGGAAAAGGACCCCTTTCGCAGGGGGGTCTTGCCTTGATGCCTTCGGCGTTGATGTAATGTACCAACTCGTTCAAGGAAGCCAACAGCAATGAGAGAATCGGGGCATGCAACACAGTTGATCTCAAGTTTGAGCCTTGAAGGGTTCAATTGGGTGTGAAAGGGGCACCCCAAGAAATGGGATGTTTCCTTTCGGTTTCGCTTTCCCGCCCCAAGAAGGGTAACCTCGAAAAAGCCAACGTCGCAGGAGGAGGCGGACCAGGTGACCAGGGACCTGCTGCTGGTCCTCGCTGGCGGACCCGCGCTGGCCCGAGGTTTCCTGCAGCCCGAAGAGGCAACGTCTGTGGGGTTTAAAGGAGCGCCACGTTCTGGAGCTCAAAGCGAAGACAGCAAAATCCTGGTTGTGAGAGAGAGAGAGAGGAATAAAGACAGACAGACAGACAGACAGAAAGACAGAAAGACAGGCAGGCAGGCAGGCAGGCAGGCAGGCAGGCAGGCAGGCAGGCAGGCAGGCAGGCAGGCAAGCAGACAGCCACATTACACACGTTCACAAAAAACAGATGTAGAGATAGTAATTGTGTGTGTGTGTGCGTAAAGTACACATAACAGTGTATGTTTACATATCATGTATGGCAAATCGCGCGGATGCCATGCCAGATGCATCAAAGATCATCATGGGAATGTAGCAAGGCCGTACACAAACCTACGTGAAAGCATGTTTATGGAATCCAAAGCCAACCGGTCAAACGAGCTCTGTTCAGAAAGTCAACATGAGGCTGGCAACCGAATCTCCGGGAACCATGTCGAAACAAACGTCATGAGCCCGTTGACACTGGGAGATTACTGCAAGTTTCGGTCTGTTTGACATGAAACTTGTGGCTTTGGACGTGTCCATGAAGTGTTCAGTCAATAACCCCAAGAGCTTTGAGTTGGATAAGAGAAAGGAAGAATGCAGGTGTTTACTTCCCTTGAGTCACAGGTGATCCAAGCATTTTGAGCCGACTCTCTTTCTCTACATGAAAACCTCTACACCTCACGGTGTACTCTTGCTGTGGGGCTGTGGAGACAAAGGCGGTCTTCATAGCCATCCAACAGTTGCCGCTGAGCATAGCGTAGAGCACAGGGTCCTTGATAGCCGAGTAGTTGCGAGCTTCCCAAAAGATCAGAATGTTGGGCTGCCCGCGCAGGCCTTTTGAAGGAAACATGCCTGTGACTTCGCCATTCGCTTTGAACTCAGACCTGGAGTTGGGGTTCTAACTTATCCGACCACTTTGAATTTCCTCTTCGGGAACCCAAAGTACCGCCTTTTCTGAGAAGAACTCTTTCCAGATCTCCGAGCAGAAGTTATGCCAATTCCGCAGGTGCCGGGCATCTCTGCTGAGGATCTGCGGGCACTAGAGCCTTGACCACAGGAGTAGAGACCAGGGAATGGCAGAGGCTTCTTTTATGGGCTCCGGAGTGGTTCGGGGTGGCTGAAGCCAGGCTAGGGAACGGAGAATGTGTCAAAAATGCAGTTGATGTTTGATGGGTTTCCTCTTGTGGCCGGAATCCCTAGTGAGGTTCTGCAACTAATGCTGGTTCTCCACTAGGCTGTCGTTCGAGCCTCAGGACCGGCTCTGGGTGAAATACTCGGAGGGCCGCCTCGGCTACAGCGTGCAGCGGGAACGGCTCGAAGCGGCAGGCGCGTTGCAGCCCGGGGCGCGGGGCAGAGGTGAGATGGGTGGCATGGGAGACGAGATATATCAAAGGCCTGTGGACTACCCGAAACATGGTTTAGGCGGATGAACACCCATGGGAGGGGAGTAGCTCAACAGCTGTGATTCTTCAAGGACCCAGTTGCCTTTTTGTGGCCATGCCAATCACCTACCACTGGCACCCTGTTTGGTCCTGCAAAGGGGTGAATCTGATATGAATAGGACGGAAGACATTTGGCCCTTTGGAGCACAAGCTTGGGAGTGATTGAACCAACTGATTTGTGCAGCCAGCAGAATGTGCCCACTTCTTACCCCGTTTATGTCACGGACATATTGGCTCAGTGAAAAGCAATTTGCTTGAAGCACACTGACTTTCATGCGGCGTTGGCCACTCTGCCAACAGCAGCTCCCCAAGTTTCTGTCGACGTCAGGTGGCAACAGCGAGACTCGCCTCTCAGGGCCTCACCAGACAGCCTCACCAGATGGCCTCATGTGACCGCTCCCTTACATGTCAAAAGATAAAACGGCTAATTCGGGTAAACAGGCGGCGCCTGACAGGCGGGGGCAAAAAGAGGTTTGGCAAACAGGGTCCCATATTTGTCAGGTACGAGTCTAGATCAACCTCCACGTCTTCACATTAGACTTGAAATCGCATGCAAGCAATTTGTACGCATGCAAGTTGATACACATGGCACCTCATTATTGGCTTCAAAGGGCAAGCAAAGGCAAACATGCCAGAGGGGCCTCCCCAATGTATGGAAATGACTTTCCCGGGCAACCCCTGTCTGGAAGGGGTTAGAAGGGGAGCCAAAAGGTAGCCAATCTTTTTGTGGAGGCCCCTTGCTTGAGGACACTTGATGTGGGTCAGGCGGAGATTTCCAGAAGTTCATGCACGAGATCGGCTGGCTGCAGGCAGTTTTGCTGTTCGTTTTGCGTGGGTCTGTGGACCCTTCAAAGCATTCCCCCCAACCCTTGATGCCTTAGTTGGAGCCTATTCGAATCAAATTTGCTTGAACAGCAGACCAAAGCCTCTAACCAGTCAGATCTTTGGCTGGTGGGTTGAAATAGTCGCAGCACCCCATGTATATGTGTCTCCTCAACTTACCTGTGTTTCCCGAGGAAACCTGCGGTGCGGATGCCTGCAATCGCCAGATGTTTGGTTGAATATCAGGAGACCCCCGCCACATGAACAATATCGTTCAAGTTGTCCCCGTATTCTTCCGCAATGGGGTCAAGCAAGTACTTGTACCCACGTGCTGCTTCGCAATCCGAACTCCTTGAAGAGTATACTGCATTTTGTTCACAGGTTTCTGTAGTGCAGAAGGAAGGATGAATGCGAGCTTGAAGGATGTTTCGGATTGTTTAGATTGGTAAAGCCAAATCATTTGGTGAGCAGCGGGAACGCCGGGTTCCTGAATCGAGTCACTCAAAAGAGCAGGCGCCCTACTTGGCCTCGATTTCTTCCGAGGAAGTGATGCGGGGGCAGTGGAAACCCAGGGGGTCGAATGAGGACTGTGGCCTTAATTACTCGCCCCAGGTGTTTTTTAAGTGCTTTCCCCATCTTATCCAGGATGGACCCCACGTGCCAAAGGCACCAAAGAACTGGGAGATGGCTGCTGAATAGACTCTGAGTGGTTACCATTGAAAGGGGCCCAGGTCTCTCGAATTTGGGGCTTTGGCCAGGGCCCCGAGCCCATGCTGCGCTTCTGGCCCCGCCGCGAGTTCGACTACTCCCTCACTGCGCCCCAAGGCGAGGCGATGGCCTCAACTGTTTTTTTTCTTGTCAAAACTGAAATGTCATGGGCGGATCTTGCTTGCTCTTAGCATATCTTAGCATGGCTGGTCTTGGTGGAGCCTTAGCCCAATTGGTGTTAGGAAACTGCTGGATGCTTCATTGAAACTGCAGAAGGATAGAGTTCTTGCTTGGGGAAGTCCATGGGATAATCTTGCCTGTTAGCGGCAGGTGAGGCCATGCGCCTTTACCAACAACTATTCCGCGCTGTTCAAACTATTTTCCCTTGGTTAGAAAGGAATTTGATCCCTTTCCGTTATAGTGGTTCCCCAATACAGATCATGCACAATAGGACTGGCCACATTTTGAAAAACCGGCACTATGGTCATGCCGGGAAGGTTCATTCATTGCCAGCTTCACGTTGTTGTAGTTTATCCCTGTGCAGAAAGACCCAGGGCGTTCTAAAACACTGTGTTTGGAGTGATAGCACGCCATAGCTGAAAGGTATGATCAAGGGGGTTTTGTGACGATCACATTTAAATGATTGATAATTCCCAATATTGGTTTTATCAGTTGGTAAGGAGTGCTGTGTGCTTTGTGTTGTGCTTCTTGGCTGTGCTTGGACAGCGGTTGTCAAGTATTGGCGTGCGTCATGTTTGTATAAGGCACACAAGGAAGACATGGTGTTCATTGGTTCGTTGTGGGCCGCAGTTGCCTGTTTCTCTGGATGACGATAGTTGGTCGTGTGCTGTTTAAGACTTAGACAGTGCTTCGAAGGAGGGTGTGCTTAATCCGCAGATCTTGCCAGGAACGGATTGGGTGTTTCTTGACTTCAAGATGCTGCTTGTTTGGTCGTTCTTACGCAAGGCAGTTTTGCGGACCCCATGCATGCACAGAAGGAAATTAGAAAAGAAACCTCTAATAAACGTCCAACAATGTACAAGAAATCGCATCCGCTTTCTCTCCCCCAGAAAAGCATGCTGATTTTGAGAGTTTTCGTGCTGCAAGCACAATTCGTGCGGCCTGGGCCAGAATTGTTCCATGACTACCAAAAGTATCCGTTCGCCTAAACAACTCCCTGAGTTTCCCTCCAACAAAAAGGCAGAACCCACTGAACTCCCTGAAGTGTCCTTTATCCTTTTTTCCTCTGGCCACTCGGACTGAGTCGACGGAAAATTCGCGCCGTGAGGGCACCTGCCCCTGACGAACCTCATCCGCGGCCGCGAGCTGCTGCTGGCCTTGCTGCGCCATCCCGCCTTCGCAGGCGACTCCTGCAGGGGGACTAGGTCGTTTGTTTTCCTGAAGGTATCCTTAAATGCGATTTGGTTGTTGGCTTCCCTCACAAAATCAACAACTAATAAGACAAGAACTTGTGCGTTGTGTTTGTTCTTGCAAGCGAAGCCAACAGCCAGAGGGAAACCAAGCCAGAGGGAAACCACTAGTTTGAGGGGCTTCTCCATTTCGAGAGAGTCTCATGATGCGAGGATGTCAGGCAGATTCGCACGGACAGGCGATGCGTAATATATATATATATATGCTCTATCTAAACACATATATGCGGACATGTGTAACGTTGTTTGCATGTATGTGACTGCGTGCTATGTGCATCAGCTCCGATTGACTCAATCGCGGCATTGCATATTCTTTACTTCCGGTCCGCTCCACGTTTTCCGCAGGCGCGGCAACTGCGGCTACTGCAGATGTACCTGTGGTGAAGGAGGCGACGACCCCTGAGGCGCGGTGCCGAGGTGCCGAGCATCGGAGACGTGGCAATGACATTTCTTGCAGAGCGCTTGGTGCGCTGGATTCTACCTTTGTTAGGCTTCAAAACCCAAGCATTGGACCAGGTGCGCGACTGGTGGGCCAAGCTCACTGGCGGCGCGGACGACGAGGAATTGGACAGCACGACGGATCCAGAGCAGACGAGCATCGAGAGGCGACGCGAGATCCGAGGGACCGAGCGAGCTTCCACGTAGCTTCCAAAGGAGCTACAATGAAAGCGAGTATGTAAGAGCAGCCTTTCTGTTTCTTATGGATTTGGTTGGACTTATTTGTACCTGGCCTAAAATTAGGCATTTGATAGCCTGCATACGCATGCAAAATTAGGCACACTAGATGGCCAGTTTGGGGGCTTTTTGAGGGAACCATGGCTAAAAGAAGGAGTGCCGGCAATGGCACAAGTGTGGCTTGACTCAGCGTGCAGTTGCAAAAGCTTGCTTTCTGTGTGTGTGTGTGGTTTGCTTCGCTCGTCAAATTTGACATCCAGCTGGATCTGATTCAGAGTTGCCCTACAAGAACACAGGCAGGGAGGAATTCCCGAGTTGAGCCACCCACATGCACACGGCACGTGTTCCCGGTCGGATTTTTTTTTCGCTCGCCGCGTCCTTTCCCGAGTTGAGCTCTCGGAGGCCGCCCGAGAGCTTCGAAGAGCGGGGCCCCGGGGAGGTTTGCTTCCGGCGCCTCGGAAGCCGAGGAATCCGGGAGGCAAGCTGTGCAGTGGCGGTGTTTCTGTTTTTTTTTGTTTTGTTTTTTTTGGTGTGTGTGTGTGTGTGTGTTTTGCTTTTGTATTTTTAATGTTGCAGGTTTCCCTTCACAATCAAGCTGGCATGGTGTGCTGTTCCATTTTTTGGGGGAGCTTTCCTTGAATGTCATCCCTGCATTTGTCCGTTGTGCTTTTTTCCAGTGACATGCTTCTTTTGCGTTGTTTGGAGTGGCTGTCCATTCAAGACCAGCCAACATAGAGGAACGATGTTCTTCCATTTCTGCCCCACCAGCGGGCAAGTAGGTATATGATTCGGAACTGCACAAATGGCTAATCTGGACGACCAGAATGTCGCTAGGTTCCTTGAAGCAGCCTCAATGTTTACAAAGATAAGCGACATAAATTCCAGACAATAATTACATAGGTCAGGAATGGCTGACTGCAGGTTTCCACTCACTTGACGTGGGGTTATTGACTGCTTCCATCCACATGCAAAGCCCTAGCATGATCACCCACCGTGTTTGATTCGGGAGGGTTCGTGAATGCTGGCTGCTAAGTACTAAAAGCAACGCTAGTGGCGCTTTCCCAGAATACCAGACGCAGTGTTGGCAAGCTTCCATATCTTCCGCGATTGGCATGCAAATCAGTTTTAGCTCTTGCCTAGCATCCGAACATATTTGGGCAGTGCCAAACCAACTGCCAAGGATCACTCTAATCACCGGCTTTGAGACGTTCAACGCACGCCTCTACCGGTCTGCAGCGAGGCAGGGTTTCACAGTCAGCATGGGCCAGGTGCGAATCCAGCTGTGAGATGATACGTGTCTACTGTTGAGATCCTTGCCCTCCGATACTCACCGCCCCAACCATACTAGATATTTCTTCGGGCTTGTACATGCTGCCTGCTGGGATCAGATTTAGTGAGCCCTTGTTGTGTTGTTTCGTTTTCCTTCTGTGTGCTGGAGGGTTATATTATGTAGAGCCCTGGAGGCGTCACGACCACACATGCCCCGTTGTTGAGAAGCAGGTAAGAAGTTGCAAGCTGCCTTTCGTGCAGCGGGAGCTGATCCTACCTTGAGATTTTCCTTGCCCAACATGCAGTGAGCAGGACACGTTTTGTGGACACGTCACCTGTTCAAGCTAGCGCTGGAAGCCCTTTTTTGAAGAGTTTGAACATGGCCGGTCTTTGGTGTGACCTTACCCCCTGGACCCTTTGGGAACACGTTTTTCCAATAAACCTGCTCGGGGAAGAGCAACCCAGTGAAGGACGTCAAAAATGAAAACGAAAGGAAACATGTAACTAGGCCAAGACAGCAGTCGTTGTGCCTTAACGGGGCCCAGAAAGGGGCCGCCATTTTTGTCAGCCCTTGTGTGTTTCGAACGTTTTTCCTTTCTGCGTGACTTGGGTATTGGCCCTCAACGACACGTCGCTTCTCAGGCAAGCCGCCGATGTGCCGGGCCTCTCCATTTGTGTTTTCACCGATAAGGCCTGGTCGGGATTTTCGCGTTTGGCCCATGTCATCCAGCGCAGTGTGACCTCATCATCTTTGACATGACTAATTCCCCACCAGCGAAGCGCTGTGAGTGTTTGCAGGGATCGAACAAATCAATCCTTGAAAGGCATGTGACGGCCTGCGGGAAGGATGTTAGACAACATCCCTGTCAAGCTGAGCACACACAAGGAGTTGCAGCCCATCTCTAGTTCATTTAGTATGGACAGTGGTGAGAACGCATAAGCCCTTTGGATTCTACTGAGGGCCGACACTCTCTGAGGTTCAATGTTTGTGAATGGGAGGTCGATGGGCCTACAAAAACCTTTCCACGACCTTTGGAAGATGAAAGGTCCATGGCTGAGCGGCGTTGCCAGGACATTGCCGAGCGTCGAGCTGTGGTGCAGCAGGCGCTTGAGACGCTGCTTGGCTGTGGAGGAGTCCGCAGTTTGTTCTAATGACCTTCAGGAAGATCTTGTGGCTCCAGGTTCTAGGTTCCTGACTGTTCGGTGATTTGTGGGTAGCGGTTTCGACAGGGAGCAAAACTTAAGCAGTGACATGATGTGTGAACATCGATTGAGTTTGTGCATCAGCGAATTGAATGTCCTTTGGTCATCACCCTAAACAGACGACGTTTGTGTGCCCGAGCAACATCCGACCCGCGCGGCCTGCAAGCTGGGCAGACCGCCGAAAGTTTTCAGCAAAAAGCCAAGGTGTCTCCCTTGTCCAATGCAAACCGACCCTGCCTGTTTGCCTCTCAGTGTTGGTTCGTAAATAGTCATGATCCCAAAAGGTTATCAAGTTCTGCTTCCAGGTTGTTGTTGCAAGTGCGGCTTGGCTTAGGCAGAGCTGAGGTGCTTTTGCACTTTCAAGGCTTGGGTCAACAATTGTCAACCCCTACACCATTTGGTAGGTTGGATCTGACTTCCCGTAGAAGGCTTTGATGCGTGTGACTGCAATCATTCCATTTGTTGCCCAAATCAACCTTCGCACTTGTAGGTTTTGTGGGATAGGTGGCTTGACCATGCCAAGTCTGATGGCTGGAGCTGTCGCAGGTTCAGTCATCAACTACACCCATAAACCATGGCTTCTTAGCTAGGCGGGCCCGAGGCGCATTCCCTCCGGGACAGACACAAGCTCCGAAATGCTGCCCTTGGAGTCATGGCAAATCCATCAAGCAGGTTCGCACAAAACCTTCGCAAAAGCTCGCGGCACCTTCCCTTGCTGCCGCAAAGTTCGCCAAAAGGGCCGGCTTTTACTCCGCTGCCCGTTACCCTCCTGCACATTCTCAGTGTGGCGTGTTTGGGGTAGAGTTTGGATTGCATTTCACAGTTGCTGCAGAAAAGGACTAATCACAAAGCAAGCCGTATGTGTGCATTTGGAACAGGGGCTCACTGCTGCAATCATGGCATGCCTTGGGCAAGGCAACGAGGAGGGTGAGTCAAGGGTTGAGGGCTGTGGACAAGTCTCAAAGCAGGGTGTGGACCCCACCGGATTTTTCAGATTGCAAGGGTGACATTTAGGTGTCCTCTGGATTCTGACAGGCTTGTTTGCCAAGATTGACACTACATTGTGATTTTTCTTGGCCATGATGGATCAGTTTACGTGCATCTTGCTCTTGCAGCCTCGATGTCCAACCTGATTTTCTCCTATGGCCACTCCCGCCCTCTGGCCTACTTTTGCTTCCTGCCCGAAATTTGGGGCAGAGGAAAGCTGCCAGCGAGAACCGCTTCGCCCAGGACGGACGTATTTTTCTGCTCGCTGATTTTCGACTTCGACCAGGCGGAGTGGCTCAGAGAAGCCTGCCAACACATCGAGGCGCGTCGATGGACCCGGCCCATTAGCCCCCGATCCGCAGCGGGATACCCAGCCACCTGGAGTCTCCATGACCCCTTAAAAAATGGGGTCATCACCCAAAATCATGGGGTCATGGGGTCACCGAGACTTGAGCCAGATGTGTGTTGCTGAATTTGTTTGGGACTGCAGAATGAGCAAGTGACATGTGTTTCCTCTAGCAGCCAGCCGCCCACGAAAGCACACACGGGGCCCTCCACAAAGCCTCGCGTTTGAAGCTTCCAGCGCTTTGATTCCACAGGTACGGATTCCTATCAGGAACCCAGGCTGAGGATTTCCATGATGCCCACTCACTCTGTGAACCATTCGGCTTGGCACATGTCAACAAAACATGGATCACTGCCATTGTGTCTATGGTGTTCCGAAACAAGCGCCAAGAAAGCAAACCAGTTTGCAGGCGGTCCGCTCCAGATGAGTTCTTGATACATTTGTGCATGTTGTTCCTGTTGAAAAGTATCATCATTGAATCTCTTCTTGTGTACTTAATCACGGAAAGAAGGTAGTCTACGACTTGTTGAGCAACAGAGTTTGCTTGTTGCGGGTCTCCTCAGTGAAACTTTGCTTGATGTATGTGCGGGTGCAGCCTGCCTTTGGCTTTAAGGACACTCAGGGCGCGCAGCATGGCGGTGTGAGCACCTTCTTCCGGCCCATGTTTTTTTCCGTTGTTTTCTCTGGGGTGGCATGTCAGGAACAGAGGGAAATGGGGTCTCTGCAAGCTTCCGTGAAAATGTCCCCGTCCAGGTCCGCATGATCTTCGAGTCCGCCTTGGAGCTAATGTCCTGCACCAAGGCCTGCAGCTGCGCTCCCCTGCTCACCAAGACCCCCCAGGACCAAAACCAAATCAGGGGCCAAGATCTAAACATTGGCGGATTGAGTTTGATGGTTTCTGAGGGCCCTGATTCTCCCCATGAAGGTTGCTTTGTTTGCAAATGAGGCCGCAAATTTCATGCAATTAGTGTGGTACGATCACAAATTGAACAATTAATTTCAACCAGTGGGGGTGGGAATGTTGCAGGCTGTGAGCTGAGACTGCCATGTCAAAAGGCGGTGTCCTGTGAATTCTAAGAGATTTGCCAGTGACGTGATGAGACTCCAGCAACGTGTTTCTTGCCATTTGAGTATGCAGTCAGGTTTTTTTTTGCCTCTAGGATTTTGCATCGTCGCTTTCCCTGGATACCTGGACCTACGGAAACTCAATAGTTAACGTCTCCTGAGATGAGTGAGGCATGGGATCCAGGCAAGCATGCGAAGCTAGTTGAATGGAGCCAACCAACAGGTCGCGCGTTACATGGTGTTTGACAGCTTCGGCCAAGAGGTTCAGCTGCGCTGACAGCAAGAGTTCATCATTGCGACAATTCTTCGTGTAATTACGAACTCGGACAAAGACCCCTTTGTGGCTAGCAGTACCTGTTCTGCTGTACTTTTGGGGTGCAGACGATATAGGGTTTTGTTCTCAAGCAACGCATTTGTCACAAGCCCATATTTCAGGTTCGCTTTGGGGAAAAGGATCCGTTCTGTCCACATGGCAAGCAATTTCGCTCAGCTGCAGTGGACGCTCGGAGCGCGGAGCTCGCCTCAGTGCCAGGTGGGCTCCTTCGCCATGTCCGGCGGCGGCGGCGGCATGCCGCCGGCAGTGCGGTCGCTGATCTCCTCGCTGACCGGGCAGCGCGAGGCGTGGGACCACAGGGAGCGGTGGCGTCAGAACAAAAAGGCCAAGGGTTGGGAGAGTGGGCCTTAGGATCTGATATGTTGGGTGGTTGGGTTCCATGAATGTTGTGTTTCTTGTTGAATACATACTCCTGTTTTTGCTGCAGAGATTGTCAAATCACCGCTGTAGGAGGACCGCATCGCTGGTTACACAAAGTTCCTGAAGACTGGGCCGAAGCTGCTGCAGTTCCTGCCGCAGCGACTTGCTTCAAGAGCAAACGGCTGATTGGAAGCTTAGCGCGGAGCTCCATTCTGATGAGTGCACCTTTCCTTAGGTTATCTTTCGTTACAGTTGGGGAGTACATCACTGCCTGTAAGAAGACAGTTTAAGCCTTGTTCGGCTCCATGTCTTGGGAGGTTTTAGCAGCCAACTTTGAGATCCTCGGGCCTGTAGCCAAAGTCAAAGTACCTATTGCAGGCAATTGGAAGGCCACCCGCCGACGACCAACTGTAATTGGGGGGGATCCGAGCTCGCTCCAGACTTGTGCTTTTTGGGTTTTGTTTTCCCTGCCCACGAAAGGTGAAAGATGGCATGCGCGCCTGAGAAAGAAAATGGACATCCATGCGGGCCGCGGATTGTTGACGACACCCCCAATCCTTTGAACCAGCCCCAGGACACTCTACGGTCAACTGCCCCCAGTCCAGAGCTGAGGCTTGGGCCCATCCCGGACCTGCGGCGCTGGCTGCAGAGCTACGCCTTGTGGAGCGGCGGGGGCCGCGCCAACGTGGCCAAGATGCTGCGCCGGGGCCTGGGAGGGGAGCGGTTTGAAGAAAGCGACGAAGGCCTCATGCTGTGGATGGACGAAATCCATTTCGCACCACCGTTCAGAAACCCTGGAATGATGATTCACCTATGAATAATACCAATTTAACAAACAATGGTTTTAACCATGGTTTTACAGTGGTGCGAATGCGTGATCTCTGCATTCCCTGAAGGTTTGGCGAACAGATCCTTGAAGAAAATGGAATGTGCTCGGCCGAGGCTATCTCGCGCACGAGTTTGGCCAGCTCGAGTCTGCAGGCACCGATGGCACGGCGGGCGACGAAACTTCTGGAAATCCTTTGGAGGTCGTCGAGATCCCGCAGGCCGGGGACTCTGATTCCGGGGTGACAGGTCTGTTTTGAAGGTGCCCATATATCTTTGGTTGCGACAATTGCGTTTGAAAGGAAGTCAAGAGGAAGCCAACTGTTTGGCCCATACAAGAAAATGCACAGCCATGAAGGACCTTGCCTTCGCCATGAGGCTTCCTGGCAGCTTTCTAGTTGCCCTTGTGATTGATCAAGATGTTCAGCGTGTTTCTGCTCGGCAGCCAAACGTTTCGATCAACAAGCATTGAGCTTGAGATTGGCGTTGAAAGAGAGGGTTATGCTCGAGAATGTTTCAGGTTTGCATGATGGTTTGCGTTGCACTCGTCAAAGGAGCCAGCCCCAAGGGAGTCATTGGGGCGAATGCAGAGTTTACAGTGAAGGGGGCACATCATAGATCCAAGGTCAAATGTATGCTACTCAAGGCTTGGCCTGACAGGTTTTGTCTCTTATCCCGCATCATTTAAGGAAATGTGTTGGAACCTCGATGACAACCTTCTCTTGTGACCACTCTTACACTTGCCTGGGAGTCTGAGTCTCAGCCATGGAAGAGGCTAAAGTCACAGAGAGTCTCGGTCTGAGGAGTCCCTTTAGATCTCAATATCGAAATTGACCCCGGCAAGACGGACAAAGCCTGCAGTGGATGGACCAAGCAACGTAAGCCATTTGCAAATTGACGAATCCATTTAATTTTTACACGGGTCTTCTTTGGGAGGCTCGCTTCTGTGCGCTTCTGTGCGAGGTGGGCCTTCTGCACCCGGCGCGGAAGTTCGCTTTCCAGCCGGGGCCCTTTTGGCAGAGCCCACGGGACTACCTCGCCCCTTAGCCAAGTTCGTTCACAGGACGGTGTTCCATAGGTTTGAGTCAATGGGATTGACACACAAGGATAGAAACAAATATATATATATATATATGTATTATGTATGTGTGTAAAATGTATATATATATATAGGTAATATATATGTAGGTATATCTATGTATATATATTATACATCCCCTTTTTGTGTGACGGTGACTTGTCATTGGTTCAGTTGCAGTATACTGCCAGCCCAAATGCTGGGAGCGCAGCCTGTCCTTCTCCCATGAAGTTGTGAGGTCGTTCCGTTGTTTGTTCCATCGAGTTGTCCTTCTGTTCTTTCAACGTGTTGATTGTGGTGGAAAGGCACCGAAGCACTACTCCCCAAGGGAAATACGGAGGGTATGTTCTGCGGCCATAGCGTGTATCTTTGTAAAGTCAGTGGCCATTTTTGGGCTATATACATCCGTTGCCTCGAGCGTAGCAAAGCATCTGGGAGCTTGGCAGCTCTGCGGTCAGCTGAGGACTGGTATCGAAGTTACAAGCCCGAGGCTCGAGCGGGCGGAAAGTTCTCCGATTTCCCTGGGGCAGACCATCCTATGGGGGAGTGCTGTTTATTAGACAAATCCAGCGGCCAGCGCAGCAACCCCGGAAAGCTGCTATCTGCTCAGTATCAAAAGTGGCCTCTTCAATGTTTACATTAAAGGTGAATGGGTTACACCCAAAACTGGCTCGAAGACACGAAGACTAGAGTCTTCAGGGCATCCGGCGAAGACACGAAAACACGCATCTTCAGGTCTTCAAGGCGTCAAGGCTTTAATGCTTATGGCTTTTACTCTTTTGGAGTCGGACATGGGCTCGCAAGGCCGCAAAGACACAAATCTTCAAGGTGTCAGGCGAAGACACGAACGCGCGAATCTTCAAGCCTTCGGGGCTTTAAGGTCAGAGGCTTCTTGAGGACTACAGGGCTTCAGGGCTCAAAGCTGCAGGGCTTCAAGCGAAGACGTAAAGACATGAAGATGCGAAGAGATGAATCTTGAGGTCTTTGGATCTTCAGCGCTTCAATCAATGAAAAGGGATCGGGCGCGCAGACACGAAGCCGCGCGTCTTGAGGCCTTCAGGGCTTCAGGCTTGAGGAAGTCAAAAGTGATCGGGTGAAGACATGACGACACGATGACTCGAAGACGCGTGTCTTCAGGCCTCAGGGCTGCGGAGAGCCGATAGGATGCACGGCGAAAAAGCAGAAAGACGTGAAGCTTCAGGCCTTCAGGTCTTCAATTGGCTTCAGGCTTGGACAAGCCTGTTGGGCTTCATGGGCCACGCCCAGGCCACCGCTTATTCAAATGCACATGTTCGCGCAACAAGGCTGTCAGAAGACAGTCACTTTGGGCCTAAGCTCGCTACAGTTTGCAAGGGTGAGTGAAGCCAGCTATGGTCAAAGGTGTTCCAAGGAGCGCACTATCCGCAGTGAGCCTCCTCCAGCCGTTGCGAAGACCGTGCAGTAATTTGAGCGTTTCCGCTAGGCATGTCAAAGCAAGGAAATGGATTTAGCATGCAACCGCCAGCCCTTTTGTGGCCCTTGCTTTATGTCACCAGCTAGGCTACTATGTATTTAGACTCCCGAACACGCTCTCAAAATCTCAAACATACTTTGGCACTTACCAGTTGCGAGCCAAATCGACGCCAAAATGGGAACATGATTTGGCATTCGACATCACCGCGCTCTATCTTTCTGAGTTAGCGTTGGCCAGCTTTTCCTTGACCCTTCCCCTGTTTCACCTGCTCGCCAGACTGAGGGTAGACTGCAACCTGCCTGTGTGTCGTTTGCCTCGTGGTTTCAGCCTGAACCTGATATTTCCGCTCGCGCATGCGCAGTTATGAGCAAAATATTACGGAAACAAAGATCGAAATCACAGACATGCGAGCACAACAATGCGCACCTTCAGGTTTCCAAGGCGCCGGGCTACACGCGCAAACCGCTGCGCCTGCATTGAACATGTTGTTGGAATCCACCATTCATGTTTGTTCTGGCCACCCTTTTGAAGCGGTGTTCAAAGTTTCAAGGAAGACAAAGGAACGACGTGGAAATCACAATTTTTATGATCCCCGGATGCAAAAACTGAGCCCACCTCGGGCTCAGAGTTTGTGCAGGCCTTTACCGAGCGGTGGCCACGGGTGGCCGTGCTGCTGTACCGAAAGCACGTGGTGCGGCTTGGCGGAGGAGTTGGTGTGTCAAACAATAGCGCATCCCTTCGCGTCGTGAGGCATATGCGCCACAAGCAAAACCTGGGTAATCAAAGGTTAGTAAGCGATCATCCCAAGAAGTAGGTGCGGCCGCCTTGGTATCACTTTACATGGTACTGGGTAGACCGTTCAATTACCAGGTCCTGATTATGACTCATATGTTTTTGCTTTCAACTGGAACAAAACCTAAAATGGCATCATGCCCAAGTGGAATACTCGTTTCGCTGCATGAAGCGTAAACGCTGATTCAAGCTCAGGGCCAGCTCCCTGGACCCTGCCTTCCCGACCCCGAGTAGATGATGAAAATGAACGATACAAGCCTTCACTCTAGAATGGTCCAAGGCACAATGGGGCGGCTGGTGAACATGTACGGGGCAGAGTTTCAAGGAAACCGCGGGGAAGCATGCTGGTGCTTCTGCGACCAAATACTGGGCAACTATGTTTGCTTTCAGGGATGGACAAATTGGGTGTTAGCAATTTACTTCATCGAAGCAACTTGGTGACTTGAACTGATAGTGCGGGTCGCAGGTTTTGAGAGCAGTCCTAAAAGGGTGGTGGCTGACCCTTGGAACCGTGTCTGGCAAAAGCGGCTGTCAATGCATCAGGGCAATCACCGGAGATACAGAGCGCTTGTATGTCAAACTTCTCAAGGAGTGCAAGGCTGCAAGAATCCCATTGCAAAGCCAAGAAAAGGGGTCTTTGGGGAAATGAAGCAATGGTAGGCTCAAGCATGGTTTACATGCAACAAGACCACGTTCCCCTTTTGGAACGGATCCAGTGCATTTCAATGCCCTTCGGAAGGTACATATCATGTTCGGATATTCCAATGGCTATTCACGTGAAAGGCTTGTGACTAGCAGTCCTGTCCCAATAAAAAAGTCCAGGCCATTTCTGCGATTGTGTGGATGACTTCCCCCCGAACCCTGCCTTTTTTACGAGCAACCCTGAAAGGGTGCTGTGTTGCTTTGACAAAAACATCCAGGTTTCCAGTAGGCCGGGCTGACATGCTGAGGCACCAGGTCACCAGGCTAAGGGCATGGATTCTTCAGCCCTCCCACGCAGATGGAAACTGACTGGAGGCCCTGAAAGAACATATTCCCTTTAAGGGCCTTTGGTGAGTTTCTCGTTGGTGGGTGGGAGGGTGTACAACAGCTTAGGCAGACTCTGCCCCTTGCAAAGTGGCGGTCGCAAAAGCATTGGACTCAGGTCAGAGCTCTCCTACATTTGGCAGCTGGTGAACTACTTTGAGGAGCTTCAGACACCCCTTTCCACCAACTAGGGGCTCTTTCATCAGAGGTCTCCCATGTTACGTCCATACCCAAAGACAAATAGATTGAAAGGTCTATGGAGGGGACTCCCTTGACAGAGTCCGGTCCTTGTTTGCGGTCGCCATGATAAAAATGCTGGACCACGGAGCGCGTTCAGAGATCTGCCATTCGAGGGTAAGATGAGAGAAGCGGGTGTGCAAAGAAATACAAATGCGAACACATGCTTGCACCACAAACACGCATGTGTATGCGTGTCCTAGTCTTATCCGCCAAGTTGTGCCGAGTGCAGGGTGTCTTCTGCATTTATTGCATAGATTGGAAGAGCCCATGGAAGAGCAAACTTCTTCTTGCAGGAGCCTCCGTAAAGTTCCATGCTTGTGTTGGGAGGGTACAGGAATGTATGGTCCATCATTTATGTGTACACTTGCTGCACAAACAAAGGCACGTTGAAGGCACGTTGAAGCAGTTGACACGCTTTTGTTCAAGGGAATCTGAAAGAGCTGAGGGGTAAACAGCCCATGGTAAGATTTGTTTCAAGCGGTGGTTGGTCCAAGCCTTCTTTTTTGGGCGGCCAGATGGTCCAGGAGAAGCACCAGATCCTGCCGATACCCATCTTCATCCAAGGCCGGGGAAGCAGAAGGGAAGCGGTTGAGAAGGATGGAATGGGAAGTCCATGACGTGGCTGGCTTTCCAAAGGGAGTGCAGCTCCGATGGACCTTCTCAACTGTGCAGAACACGTGTTCTCAGTGGGTTGGTCAATTCTGGATTGGATTCTGGGATGCTAGTTTGGGGGGTCCCATTTTAGGTGCATGGAGTGGGTGTAGAAGGAGCTGTCGCGAGGTTCCCAGCTAGCAAAGGGAAACCAGATTTGCGGGAGTGCGCCGCAAAGGGCCTGCAAGCCAAAGCAGGCAGCAGCGAGTGAGGAACCACAAAAAATACCAAGCGGCCACATTGGCAATCTGACAAGGGACCTCATCCATGATGAAGATTCCTTTCTTGCGGATCATGTATTGCGTTCCCCTTTCGAAACATTTCCAAGCAGTCCACGAACTGGTTCAATCTTTTTTGATACACGGCCGAGTATCAAGGGCCATCCCCAAGATGGCACCATCCATATTATGGTGGCTCGCCCGTTGTTTGGAAGCTGACCGGCAGATCCCCCATCGGACAGGCGTGGATGCGCATATCGCCGTGCGAGACCTGCTGACCAGTGATGCGGAGCGGGAGGCGGTGGCGTCCGGGAAGGTGCCCAAGAACAGGACAAGGGCTGCAGACTCTGAACAACAAAAACGTGAATGAGAGTTGGTTGCACCCCAAGAGGTCAACCCTTGGTCACGGATCTTATGTAATTCCACCTTGCGTCCATGCCGTTTAAAATTAGCTGTCCATTAAGTTCTCCCATAAGCGTCAAGCCTATGGGATGTGTATGGGCAGGTCAAAGCGTTTTGGTTTGCAACCTGGGGCCTATGATGAAGGGTTGTTTTTGGGCAGACGAATGTGTTGTTTCAAGGGTTTGTTCCGCTCTTTTTCAGATGGTGAAGTATTTGGGTTTTTTGATTCTGCTAGCCACCCTCCATTTATCATAGCGATGGTCATCATTGCGCCATGGGGAGTTGCGGAAGTTCAGACCTTTTTTGGAGGATGTCAAAGGTGTCATTCCGCGCCGCCGGTCAAGAGGGCTCCCAACAACGGAGTCGCAATGTTGATCATTAAAGTTATGCGACTGTTCCATGCCTTTCGCTCTGGCGATCTATGTTCAGGGATACATGTCGATGGATTCCTTCAGCGGATCACGTGGACCGGCTCCTTACCGTTGCTCGAATGGGACCGGCTCCCGGCAGGACTTTGTCGGAGGAGGCCATCGAGGTGGATGCAGTCGTCAACACCATCGGCTTTCCCCTGGTTGGGGGGCCGGCCGGTTCCATGGAAGGCGGGATGGCTTCAGATCGCAGCCCAGGCTGAGATGGATGCAACGTGACACAGATAGAAGTGTTCTGGGCACTTGCGATGTACCGCCCAGGGCACAAAACTACCCAGGGCACAAACTCAATACTTTCTGTGCGCGATACAATTTGTCAGATCAAATGACCCCCAGATGTCAGCTTCACAGCTGCTGGCCAGGCGGCCGGAACAGCGAGATCGCCAAGGCGGGGCGTGGTTCAGATGTTCTTGTGGCCTGCCAAAATGGGTTTGTCTTAAAATGGGGGAACCCACAAAGGGGGGTGGTTTCCCTTTGGTGTCCCTATGAAACAACCTGAAAAGGGACCCTCAACAAAAGACATACCCAAATGGGTAGTTGGCTTGGAGGTTTGTCCCGATTCGAAACTGGGGCAGAACCAAGTGGCCGAAGTTGTAATTGAGGGACCTACTTGCATGTCTGGGGAAAAAATGAAAACCAAAAAAACATGCAAGCATGACCTGCCTGTCAGCGATGTGTGAGGAGGGTTTTGGGGTATGTCCCCTGTTTGTACCCTGTACAACCCCTTTGTCACCCATTCAATTGTCGCTGATTTCGAGGTATGTCCATCTTGGGGCAACATAAGGCAGAGTTTGGAATCAAGCATGTTTGTAGCAGCACTGTTGCAGCCTTACTGGGATCGTGCGTGGTCCGAACGAGAGATGGGCTCTCCCCATGTGCCTGACTTTAGAGTCTCCAGGTGGGGGCCACTATACACGTGGACCCTTGCTGAGTTTGCTGAGTTGCTTGATCCAACAGACGCTTCATTGTAGCACCGTCAAAGTTGGCAGACTTCCATTTTGTTTCCTTGCTAGCCTGAACCCAAGTTTCCGATTTTGAGGCAGAACTGTTGATGGTGCTCCCTTTCTTCTCAGGTGGTTGCTGCTCACAGGAGATCCTGACATCCCTCAACGTGCCATACTTCGTTGCGGCCCCCTTGCTGATCCAAGACGTGAACTCTTGGAGGGAGCAAGGCGCCGGACAGAGGAATAGGCCACATGTGATGAAAGCAGCTATCTACATGTGCCAACTGCCAATTCCTGCAACAATTCTTGGCCAACTGTTTGCGTGCTGAGATGTACGCTCCGCAACTTGAAACAAAGCGTATGAGGCAATGGCCTTCCCGCTCTCTCGCAGGATTCTCGCGGAAGGAAAGGGAACAGCTTCAATGCTTGCTTGCTTCGCGACCAGCATGCTTTGCTTGCCCATGGGGCTGTTCAACCAATGCAGCTCAACCAGCCTCTGATGCTGATCCTTCAAAAGCACCAATGAGGCCCGCAGCTCAAGGTGTGGAGGAAACATTTATCGAGAAGGGTTTATTTTTGTTCGATGCTCATCTCACTTAGTAAGAACTTTAAGGAAGGTTGTAAGGAAATCGTCGCCCCTGTTTTCCCGGCATGGCTATTGCCTGCCTGATGTGGGTTTAGCATGGTTTGGCATGGTGCCCTTCGCATTGCAAGTGAGGGACAAGCTGACATCGTTGTCATTCATTGTTGCCATACTTGCCAACGTTGGAATCTCCCGTGCATCCAAGCCCGCAAGAAATGGACAACACGGATTAGGGAAGACACGCACACGCGACATGGACCGACCCCCTTATGGAGGGTAGAACAGTTTTCAGAAACCAGGATGACTAAAGAACCCGGGGCGCTTCCAAACGGTGAAGTGGCCAGACCTTGCAAAGAAAAAAACACGGACACACGTCAAAACAAAAAGCCCCTGCATATGGGAGTGTCTTCTTTTAAAGGGTACCCCATTTTGATTGGTTTCAAAAGAAAACCTCAAACAAGACACAACCAGCACTCCCAAGTCCCAAAAAAATCGCCGAGCCACCCACATATGTCCCGTTTCTCTTCCTTCAGCACTGGACGCATGTTGCAGGCATCGGTGGCCTGCAGGGCGTGGTGCTCTACGCGCTCCCGGAGCTGGACGGCGCCATCGACGCGGTGGCCCTGGGCGGCCTGGTTCCCGGGGGCGACATCGCGCCTCGGCTTCCCGACGGCCGAGGGTCTCCGGGCCCGGGGGGGCGGGGGGGGGGGGCAGCAAGAAGGAAAAGCTCCTAGAGACAAGGCTGCTTCCCTTTCCGAAGGGGCGGCCAAATATGTGGCTGTGGGTCAAAACCAATGGTATCATTTTGGGGCAGGTGCACCACCCTTTTTAGAGCCTATTTTACTGGGGATTGGGATGTTCACTTGGGGCACGATTTGGATTTTGACCCATGGCCATGTTTTTGAGCACGCACCCCCATTTTGCCCGGCCGCGGCTAGGAACTGCTGCCAGACCGCGTGGATCGCCTGGCAGGGCGCCTGAAGCGCTGGGTGCGGCTGCGCCGCACGCCGTCCGCGCAGCGCAAGGCGCGGCTTCTTGGGCGGGCGGAACGGCCTCGAACATGGGGAGGGTGCGGGGATCTGATGTGAGGGGTTCGGGTTGGAGTTGGAGGAGGTAGAGGATTGAAGGGTGTTTTTCGCGAAGAGTCTCGGAGCTGGGCTCGCCCGCCACAACCCTGTCATGTTTTGTCCCTGTAGTATTCCCCGTTCAAAAAGGGGCGTTTCCCATGGGCGACTCCATGAGTTCTTCCATTTTGGATTCCCTTTGAAGATTTACAGGGAAACCTAAAGGACTGCCATATTCAGGACTTTCATTTCTTTTGGTCAGTTTAAGAGAACTTCCAATTCGGCTTGGACCAACAGGTGGCCATCATTTTGTATGGCTACCCGCCGGGCATTGGCGCCACCGGCACGGCGGCGCTGCTCAACGTGCCCCAGTCCCTCCACAGGCGCGGCGAGCGGCAAGTGGAAGACGAGGAAGCCGTTGAGACCGCGTTGGCTTTTTTTGTTGTTTTCTTCGCTGTTCATTTTGTGGGGCGCGTGCAAACCAAGTACGTTGTTGGTGTTTGTTTTTGTTGGCTTCGCTGCTCATTTTGGTTGAGCTTCCGTGCCCTGGCACGGCTCAGGTTGACCTGAACGGCCACCGAGTTGGCATTCAGGAGTCGGCATAGACTCTTTGGGAGTTGTTGTTTCCCACACAAGGGTGGGTTGTTCGAGATGGAGACCACAGAAATGCCACAGCCATTCCGGGGTTCCGCAAATTGAAGACAATCAACCACAGAATTTGAGGTTCCACAAATAGGCTACCCCTTTAAAAGAAGCAGATGTCTAGATGGTGTTTGGCTTCTCTCGAAGGCTTGCCTTTTGGTTTCCCGGTACGTGCCATAGCGCAGGCTGCTAGTGGCCATGAAGGAGCAGGGCTATGATGTCGGAGACCTGCCTGAGGACCCGGAGGAACTGATCCGGGAAATTACCGCAGGCGGGAGCGCGTTTGACATGGGCATCGCAAGAGTCCAAGTTACCGAAAGGACTCCAAACTATCATGTTGTACATATTTCTTAGAGGGGCGGGCACTTCAGCGTGTTTCTCCTCAGGGACAGGGCTGGGTATGTCAAACCAGAAAAGGGCCATGGCACTGTTTGAAAGGGCAAGCAAGAGGAAATCAGAGGACCAGTACCAGTTGCAACGGTCCAACGGGATTTGATAGGCCACATGCTAACAAGCGGACAAGCACGCAGGAGGCAGAAGCAATCACATGGATCCCGTGGCAGTTTTCCTAGCCGCTCTTGGCAAAACGTGCTTTCCGGTGATCTCGGAAATGACCAGGGCCCAAATGTGCTTTTCAAAGTGTTCATTGCATGTAGTTTCATTATGCTTCATTTGCCTGGCAAACGCTCACGAGAGCAAGTCTGTCATATTTGAGCCGCTTGTGGACCATTTCCCTATCTTCTTGCCTGGCTGTTCTTCGTATCGGCGCTCACAAGAGCGATCAACCCATGAACACCCATTTGGGAATCCAACAATTTCATAGTCAGGTTGCCGAAGCTGATTCGCCTTCTTTCTCAACACCCAGTCCGGCAATCCACCAGTCCACGGGGGTTACGACTGAAGCGCCCAGATCTCCGCTTCCATGGCCAGGGGACCAGGCGGCCGACTCGGGCGCCGGCTTCGGGGACCGCGCGGAGCTCGCCAAGGGCGCGGCCCAGGTGGAGGCCGTGGGAGGAGGGGGGGAGGGGTTGGATGGGTTGGGGGGGAGGGGTTGTAAAGAGCGGAGCAAAGGCTTAAAGGGTTAAGAGTTTCCCTTGGATGCCTGGAGTTGATACAGTTCCTTTGAGGTAAACCAAAAGGAAGTTGTTGAAGCACAGGCAATGGTACAAGGGTTCGAGCTGTCCTTGTTAAACCATGTTAAACCCCAGTGGAAAGACGCTATTCTAATAGCAGGGACCTATAACGCGTGACCATGCTTGATTGGGTGGGTGAAAGGTAGCCTTATTTGCTTTGGCATGAACAGTTTATGAGGGACATGATTAATCCCAGCGAAAGGCAAGACAAGGCTTATCGGTGGCCTGTACATCCTGGATCAGCGCTTCAAACCTCTGAGTGGTCCAGCACGAATCGATTTGTTATCCTAAGTGTTGGCAAGCCAAAAGGAGGTCACCTTTTCATTTCCTGGGTCTCCAAAAGTTGGGCCGTATCCAACAGGCCTTTTCAGCATCCATCTCCGGAGAGAGATCGCAACCCATCAAGCCGTTTCCTCCAAGCCCCCCTTGGACGGTTTCAATAAGGAAAAAAAATGGACGCCGACCAAACCAAGTCGGCTCCATCCCTGAGGTTCAGCAGCTGGCCGAGTGGCTGCCGCGAGACAGCCAGGAGCGAAGCGTTGACTTGGGGAAACCTAAGGACAACCTGGAGGGGTCTCCCTATTTGCCACAGAGCCACTTCAGAAACCTTCACTTCTCGTCGTTCCGCTTTGGCTATATATATATATATAGAGATATTTCTCATTGGATTTCAGGCAGCCTTTGCTCAAGGGTTACCCGTTACAGAGCCATGAGCTGGTCCTGGTCGAGAGGTGTTGCTCGAGGATGTTCGATGAAGCGCGGTGTTGCCTGTGACACTGGGCAGCCGAGAGGACCTGAGGCGCAATCACCGGGCCGAAGTTCCTAGAAGCTGCTCTTCAAAACATGGCGGGGGTAACGCAGGATACAAGCTGGCAGGGAGGGAACCGCCAACAACACCAAAAGCCATTCCTGCCAAAACGGCAGTCTTGATTTCGGTTTCAGGATCGAGTTCTGGTCTTTTCCCTCCAGCACTTCCAACCTCCGCAGCCAGGAGGCGGTGGAGTCCAAGTGGGGGGAGGGCCTGGCGCAGAGCGGCATCCGCGCCATGGGTTCCTTGACCAGCGACAGAGCCCGCCTACTGGCAATATGGGTGGGGTCCTTGTGGGTTGAACAGTGGGGTTTCCTGTTTTCCCTTTGAACCAGCGGGTGGACTGTCGCATCCTTATGGACTTAACATGGGTGGGGTGTTCTGTGTTCCCTTTAAATCAGCTAGGGTAGCGTGAAGAGAAGCATGCACCCATACGGCTGACCGCTAACCTAAACTGATTCTAGTTAGCTATTGCTTGATATTAGTTGTTTCCTCCCTTGTTTGGCCCAGTCACGAGCTTATACCCTCTTCTCAGCCATCATGGAACTCGACGGGAAGGTCCTCTTGAAAGGTCCCTTGTCCGCTTCCATCATTGGTGGGAAAAGGGTAATCTGTGTGCATATTAATCACCTGGGGAACCGTTTTTCTATGGATGCGGTCGTGGCACCCACTTGCCGTGGAGGCTGATGATACACAGTTAAACCCAAGTCTACTAAGTGAGCTCATATGAAACAAGAGCGGCTTTAACATGTTGAAGCGGGGAGTTGGCCCCACCCTTCCTGTATGATCCTTCAGATGCAACTGTTCAACCACCCTTTTTGGGTTGCTGAAAGGTTGCATGAATGTTCAGTGTCCATGCCCCCCCTTCCCCTCAAAACATAATGAACATCTACATAGATTACGGTTCCTCTCGCTTCTTCGGGTCCTGTCAGTTCCAGCAACTGCTCCCAACCACAAAAATAACAGACGCGCTAAAGGAATCACCGGGCCACTGAGGCTCGGCGCTGCTGCTAGGGGGGCGCAAGCAGGGCAACGCCCCCCGGCACGTTACGTCGGGAAGGCTACTGGGTGTTTTTGTTCCTCGGGTTGGGGAAAAGATGGTAGCTTGGCCTTTGCTTCCATGTCCTTTGGAAAGGTGAGTGAGTCAGATCTTGCGGGAGAATTGTCTATTTCAGGCGGGTAGTAGGCGTGCGGCAATACGGATCCCAATAGGACTTTGATGTACGGGCAACGTATGCGGATGTGTATGTTTTTACAGCCAAGGGCATGCAGCATTTTGTGGATATTATTCACATCCAGGCAATCCTTTAACCCGAACAGAGATGGTTTGATGTTCAATAATTTGCATAGGACATCGACAATCTGTTCTTGATATGTTGTTGATACTCTTGACGACGGTCCTCCTACCACTCTCGGAGGCAGTGGGAGGCCATTGTTTTCCTGTCGATGCCCATGGCGCATTGGCTTGTGGGTACCTTCACATCAAAGGACCCTATTCTGCAGAACTCAGGAGGCAATCGCTGTTCATGGCCCAAGGGCCTGCTTCTCCGATCGCTTTGGGCCGAGGTCTGGCTAGCGGTGCAGCCACCCCTTGGCGTGCCCGGGGACCCCATGCGGCTTTTGCTGCCTGACTCAAAGAAGGTGAGGTAGCAGAGTTCCTCATGCTTTCCCCCCCTTAAGCGCAAGGACACTCGAGGAAGGACAGACACGAACGACTCCTCAAGAGTCAATTTTTCAGGGAGTCAAGGGCCCTTGAGGCTGCCTTGTCGCAGGTTCGAGCGGGACATGACGCCGCACCCGCAGTACGTGGCCTTCTACAAGTACATTGAGAACGAAGCTCGGTCAGACATGTAGGCTACCAGGTGCCAAAATAGCACATACCGTGTGAGTTCGCCCAAATTATGGCAAAAAGCCTGGATGTACCGCCGAAGACAACATGTCAAGAAGGCCCCGAGTTTCGTCAACTCATTGTGTCCTAGAGCAACTCGGGGATGGATCGCTGGCTTCCTGGAGGGGCCCTTTCAAACGTGAACCAGAAAGGGGATTCACAAGTGGAGGAAACACCAATGGTGTGTTTTGAAGTCTTAGAAAAGTCCGACTAGTAGCTTGTTGAAAGCTGCTAAGGGCTATAAAGGGCCACGGCCTTTTTACAGCAAACGGTTGAGCATGAAAGAGGAATGTCTGCAAGAGGAAAGCTGTATAATCCAGCCAGCTGGATGCATGTCCTGTTGTTGTTTTTGGGAGGGCTTCCGGGAATATCCAGAAGTAGGCCGACATGCTGCTAGCAAGTTTCGCGGAAGTTTGGCCTCGGACACACTGATGAATAGCCCACAAAGCGTTTGAGCATGACATGACAGCCTTGGTGGACTTTGTCTGTCGCACAGAGCACTTTTTGGGATCGGTGCTTGCCACACATAGAATCTAACTTGGTGAGTGCATGCCTCCCACTTCTATGAGCAGTGGACCTTTGGTGTTGCGTCCATCCCGTGTTCACCTGTCATTGGCAGTACGACCTAGACTCTAGAGACCGATAACAATGGTGGGCTACCCCTGGACAGGGACTTAACAACCATGTTCAGTCTTCTCATGACGGCAACTCAACCACAAGCTGCCAATGATGGTTGTTCGTGGCACACATACCCTTTCAGACTGCATTTGCCAATTTTCGGGCGCCGGGAACCTTACACATTGATTCGAAAGCCTTTGTACATAGAGCCCACAATGTCCCATAATTGGGAACTCACCCTGTGCCTGGTTGACCTCTGTCCCCTCAATCTCAACAGCTATGAGGATTTCCCAAACACCCTGAGACATGCACCCCCTTATCAGGGTACGGTGAGTTGGCAGCGCCCCGCAGGCCTTGTTTTACTCCTGAGGGGTCCCCAATCGTGGGACATAGTTGCTTAGTGCTTCAATATGTTTCGCCAACGCATGTTGTCAGTTTATCCTACTTTGGAAACTCAAAGAGGTGTGAGAGAGATAAGGTGCATGCATGCTTAGAATATATATATATATATACATATTTATGTTTATATTTATGTATATATTTATGTATATATATATATATGTAGATGACATGTTGTTGCAATATTTCAACAGGTCTTGGAGACTCCAGGCATGCACTTTTGTCCCAGGAGTTGGAGGCAGATGCCGTGGTGCATTTCGGGATGCAGCTTGGATCGAGCAAGTGGCGAAACAAAAATGCCATGACTGTTGTTATAGCGTGGGGGCCGTCCTGAAGTCTTGGGCCCCGTTGTGCCAGCTGCTTGAAGGGACCTGACAGCAGGAAGCCCGTTTTTTTTTTGGGGGGGGGGTGTGTGTGCCTTGTTTTTGGAAAATACCAACGGACAGCGGAGAACGAACATGCGAACCCCAACTCAGCCAACAGGAGGTGTCCACTGGGCACGAACAGAGGCCCCACCCAGTTGCCATGGTGTGTCTCCATAAACACCAAAATGTGGTTGGGTTTGGGTGTGTGTGTGTTTTTGTCAGCACTCGTTTAGTTGCTTTTGACTGACTGGGGCAAGGTGCTGGCGAACATGGCACACTTCAGACCCTAGTCCCAAGATTTGGCTCAGCAGTGTATGTTGGATTTTCTCCTAGGACAGCTGAACGGCGATGCGCCAGAACCGGGGAATATTACATGGGCTAGTCCCGTGTTTCGTTTGTCTGACTCAGTGCGCAGGGGCCAGCACTGAGTGATTACCCAGCACTCTGCCGTTTCTGTTTGTTTGCATTGCCTATGCGAAGCTTGAAGATTGCAATTGCATGAAAGCCCTTGGCAACTTGAATGTCCCCTTGCTAGCTAGCTATGTTCGACATGGAGTTGCTCTCGCTCACCGCACTCATACACGTGGTAGACTGATTGGGGGGCTGAAGCTTCGATTCGGATGGTTCGGCCCAGTGCTTCCAGTTGCTGTCAAACTAATTAGTAATAAGGAAGTTCGACCTGCAGATTATAATACCACCATAGGCTTACTCTCCTAAAAACTAACATGGACCCCAAGACATCCAATCAAGGAGGTCGCTCCTTGACTAGACTGTTCTAGAAAGCATAAGTTTGCCAAAGTCATGTCTGCCAAAGCAGTTGAATATTCATTCAGAGGATGTTTTTTTTTCTGCGGGATGACCTGTCACCCTAAGAACCCACTGAGTTGCTTGAAGGCGTGCCCTTTAGTAGTCTCAGCTGTATCTCTGCAGCTTGGCCGCTTTTTGGACCGTGGAGGAGAGAGTCCCTAGTGATGGCCATACCTACCAGGATCTAGAAGTATCCCTTGCCCTCAGCATTACAGCTGGAGTCAATTCTTGCAATCGGTCGGTTTGGCATATCAGCACCGATAGGACATTTGGCGAACCCAAATTGCCATTCGGAGATGGCGTCTCACCAAAGTCCAATGGACACACTCGGTATACGCGGCTCTCCAGGCACGGCACCGCGGAGTGGCTGCCGGGGAAGCCGCTGGGGAACATGGGCTCCTGCTGGCCCGACCAGCTGCTGGGGCCACTGCCCAACGTGCTGCTCGCCCATCAATCAACTTCATTTATGTATATATATATACACATTACCATGTGTATGTATATATATATATATGTATGGTACCCCCCCTTTAAACAGCAAAGAGGTAGATCCATTGGGGGGGGCAGGGGAAGGGGGTAGCATATATATATATATATTAATATAAATGATGCGTATATGGATTGTGTACATATAGAGAGAGAGAGAGAGCGAGAGATGTACATGTATGTGTATGTACATGTATACATATTTAATCACACCTGCGATACTGTGGAAAATATAGGTTGGGCAAAATAGACAAACCCTTTGCAGGGGTCGTAAGGCCCCCACCTGCGATCCAAAAAAGTGGCCAGAGGTTTGTGGCCATGCGATCCTAGGGGAGTTGCCATGGGAAGCATCCAGGCGTATGTAGTGTATTCGGTATATGTGTATTTGTCTATGTATGCATCCGAAATAGATGCAGTGCTTGCACTCAGTGTTCTTGGTTCGACTCTCGTGTGCTAAGATGGCCACATGCGGACCAAGTTTGATAGAGAGATAGCGAAAGAGAAAGATAGAGAGAGAGAGAGATGAGATGTAGAGACGGAGCGGAGCAAGCCACGTAATGGAGAAGGTAGCATCGGCGGATTTGTCTTCTGTATCGGCGGAGTAGGAGGAGCAGAAGCTGTTGAGCATGGCGTGGTCCGTAATGGTGCTCTGTAGCACCAAACAGATGCAACCACTCTACTTATCTTGGTTAAACTGGTGCTAGCCAAGTAGAACTTGTATCATGGCTCTTGCAAGACAAGCATCGCAGTATGGTGGAGTTTGCATATATTCGCCATATCTGCCCCAACAGACGATCCACACACACACACACACACACACGCACACCCACACACACACACACATGGACATGGACGTAGATCGTTATTCTTCGCTGGCACCATTGTTTCTGGCGTGGCTGATGTACTTTTTGTTTAATATGGTTATTCCCCCACATGTCCTCTTGGGCTCATCGTACTGTTCAGAGATCACCTAGTTGAACTTGACTTGAATTTGTTGTGACTGGTGATGGAGCAGTCGCAACTTCAAGCTGATCCAGACAGCCTAAGGGTGATGGTGTTGAGTGGGAAATCAAACGGGCACAAACCGATTGTAGGACCCGCACTTGAAGAAGGACTCAATTTGCCGTGTTAGGCTCCCAGGTGTTGGATGTTTTGGGGTTGGGGCCCCGGGTGGCTTCACGCTCCCAGGTACCTCTACGCCGCCAACAACCCAAGCGAGTCCATCTTAGCAAAGAGGCACGGAATGAAGCCAATGGGGTGCGGAGAAAAGGGTCAACCCCGACACGCAGTGTAGAACTCACGTTAACTTTCCAGTGAAGAACCTGTATAGCGGTTTCCCCCTTTTGCCATACTCTACAAACGACCGCTAGGGTGGTCAATGCAAGTCGCTTTCCAGGACATGTGGGGTGTCGCTCATGCGCTTGGAGGCACATGCGGCAAGCCGAAGTTTCCATGTAGGCTGAAGCTCTTTACCTTGTCCTTCCCTTGGGAGTGCGTGGCTAAGTAACCCGACCAAATCTGATCTGCATTATTCCTAAGGGAGAACAAAGGGGATGAATCGTTCAATCTGTCCAGACGACCTCAGGTGTTAGTATGTGCCCTTCCTGGAAACAAGCACCATCTTTTACAGTCATCTGCTCGGGTAATCTGAGCTGCGTCCTCAGCTTTGGGTTCAGAGGCGTGGCTATGGCTGCCTGGTCTCCTACAATGTGCCACCCTATGCCAGAGCTGGTCTTTACAAGGAGCGGGCCGACAGTGGATGGTTTTCATCTTAAAGTGTTGGGGGTGATGCTTTTGGCGCATCTGTCGTGGGTGTTTCAAAGGGAAATCAATAAGGGGAACCGCCGTTTGGCTTTGACGTTGACACAATTTGACACGACGCATAGTGCAACTTACTGCCAAAGTCAACTATGATTCTATGATTGTTTGAACGAGCCTCAGTCCCCTGCGATGCGATAGCTATACCGCAAAATGCAATGCCTGGTGGCTTACTTACAGGCTGGCTCGCTGGACTGACAGAAGTCTGCCTGGAAGTCTCAGAATGAACATCCAATGAGTCGATTGGTATGTTTCTCATGTTTACGTTTGGGCTTGGTTTCTTTTGGTCTACGCTCCAGTACACTGTATCCTGTTTAGATTTTGAGCCGCTCCACACCTGACGTGGTTTTCCCGACTCCGACCGGCATCCTCTACCTAAAACGGTGGCTCCAAATCTGATCTCACACCCCCTTTCATCTTTTAGATCTGAGCCCTTTGGTTGCTTCTCGGTTTGAGCTTCAACATGTTCCTTTTGGACATGAAGGTTTCGCTGTTAGCAACATGTGTAACTTTTTGCAAGGATCAAAGACCAAGACCCTAATCAGAGGAGCTGCAGACGCTCCGAGGCTTGCTGGCAGAGCCCCTCGGTGGCTTCGGGGCAGGATATGACTTGCGATAGGCAGGGAATGAGCTGGAATGACCCCGAAATAAACAGTTACCACCATTAAAGCAATGGTTGGGTTGATAGAGTCACCATTGTTTACCCAAGGCTGTTTATCATCTAAATTGGGTCAACCAACAAAGAATTCGACATGGAATGACCTCGAAAAAAACCCATCCCTGATTTGGTTTCATTGAAGGGAACCCCCCAAACAACTTATACCCAACACCCGGAACAGTCAATCCCTTCTGAGCACCAGCAAGATTAGGATGCCCATGAATAGAGGACCCTACAATTTGTTTCCGCGCACTATGAGTTAGCCTCCGCCCAACCAGTGCATGGAATTTGCACTTGTCAATGTTCGTGACAGCTTCCTTGCTGCATAGATGATTATGAACCAACCTTGTCAGCATATGTGACGAAACTTGAGCAAGCAATTCCTTGAAGCCAACAAATGTAGACCAGCTGTCATAGCTGCGTGGCTGCCTGTACGCTGAGCAGATATGAGCAGACCACTAACCCTGTGACAAACAAAGTAAGCGAGCTTACTAACCTTAAATATTACATTTGTGCAGCGTCGAGGGTAAGGCTTTCAGATCAGCAGCATGCAACAGCATGTGCAACCAAACAATTAAGGAGTGGAGTGTTATTCGTGATACAGGAAATCTGTCAAAATGAGCTCAGGACTCTTCCAAACGGTTGTTTGCATGCTGGTTTCCTTTATGACAAGAGCGGAAGGGCTGGAGCTCATACTGGCACGTGTCCATATCGCTGCTCCGAGGTTTATGGAGAGCAGAGAAGACACGGGTGAGGCGGCCACCCCGACTGGGCTGGGCCAATCAAGCCATGCTTGAAAAAGTAAGAACAGTGACAACTAGAAGCGGCCGTCCACGCACTTCGGCATGCGCATTTGAGTACCTTCGTTGCCTACCGGGCTTCGGCTGTCACTCGTTTGGCCTGCCAAAACGCTTGCAGCGCAGAACAGCGGTGTTTGGAATTGCCCGGCCTTTGCACGCATCCCGGCCGATCTGTTTCGTAACTGGCGATGGCACGCTGTCTCTCGCTCTCTGTCTCTTTTCGGGGCTCTGGAGTGTCTTTGAACAGATTTGGCAAAACATCCGACATGCTGTGGCTTGAGGACGATTTTAGCAATAGACAGCATGGACAGGGCAGTTCAAGGAGCAGGTCGCCATGATCGCCACTTATTTTTCGTCAGTCCGCAATGCGTAGCCCGCAGGCGCTTTGGGTTTCCGATTGCAAGGGCGTGCGCTACAAGTTTGTTGGCTACATGCTATACATGTGTTGCGCCTTCCAATGTTCTCAACGTTACCCCAAACCCCTCAGACATATCGGACGTGGGTGTGTTGCCCAGAATCAGCCCTGTAGGTTTCCCAGAGCCCGAGCATGGGGTCTGCTTCTGCCAGGCAGAGCGCCTGCGCAGCGTGGCGGCTTCGGAGGGTGTTGTGCTGAGCGGCGAAGGCGGGAAGGTCACGCCGCTGAAGTGCGTGGTGGACATCGGCTAGAGGGATCTCTACTGACATCAGCCCCAGACCCCACAAAGCAGGAATATGTTGGTTGTTTCCTGTACATGTTCGTGTCCCTTGCTTCTGAGGTGGGGAAATGCACGTAGGGACTCTCCTGTCTGTTTCTACAGTCCGCCTGTTTCAGGTTTTTGGGTACTACAGGTGAGGGAACTGGAAGTGGGTAGGATCATGTCAGATTTTTTGAACACGGCTTTGTCATCGCAATCTTCAGGATGCACATCTCAGAGGGCACCTCCGAGGTAAAATGGGATATCCACTTGGTTGCTCGCGCAGGAATGTTGCATGCTCCATGTTCCCTCGGGCGCTTGGGTCAACGGTTTGTGGCTTTTTGGATCCCTCTTTGCTTGAAGCGCGGTCAACTTGAATCTCTGTAGCTTGCTTTAAGAGCTGGAGGGCACATTGACTCAAACTTCAGGTTGAGTGTAGGCCTTCCAGATCTCGGCCTTGTGGGCTTGACCCCCTTCCAAGGGCCATTAAACATGGGCGTGTTCAAAGCACGGGAAAGACAGCAGATGTCCGAAGGGAGCGATTGGCGAAGAGAACAGGGAGTGGAAAGACCTTGGAAACACTGCGGAAACACATAGTATTCTACAACGAGTTTTGCGGGAAAAGGGGGCGGTACATGTTCCACCTGCTCAGTATCAAACATGCGGTGCAACTGACTTTCCTTTCACTTAAAGTGGATCCCATTTTCAGGTCGGAAGCCAAAGGCCTCCTAGGCCCACGCTCCGCGACCCCAGATCCGGAGGGCATGAAGTTCAAAGTAGCGATGGCATGAGGCCATTTCGCACCGGTCATGTCCCCGCCTGCGCGCTTGTTGGAGATCTTGCCGGAATGGCTTGCAGACTTTCTGGAGGGCAAAGCCCTCCTACGTGTCACGCGCACCTGCCGCGCAGCCTGCAGTGGACGCCATTTAGAGCAAGCTGCCGCGGCACGCCGTGCCTTGGAAGGTTTGGCGAGATTCCTCCAGAGAACTCCTGTTAACCTGCCTTTCTTCACCGCCTCGGACAGGGGCAAGGTGAGAGTGCAGGCTTGCTGGGATTTCGCGGAGATGTGCCCGGGCAAATTCTTTGTGCCGTCTTTCATGACTGGGCATTTCGGGACTGGTTTGCGCTTTGGATTAAAGGACTGGATAGTTGGCCGCGCCAGCGCCTACTTGCGCGGATTGAGCCCTGCCCAAGCAATGCGAGAGCTGAACTGCTTCCTTCCGGAGAATGCACGGCCGGAGTTCGACCACTTCATGAGCCTGCTAGAAAGGAACAGCGCCCGCTACTTTTGTTCATACATGGCCCACCGAGAGGACTGTCCATCAGACTGTCCCTGCCGCGCCATGGACGACAGCGACATCGAGATGGACCTGGACTATAATCCTGTGGAGCCTGGGTTGGTCATTGCCTTCCGCTATGATGCCTTCAATGTGGCCATTTGCGCGCGCCGTGATCGGCTGAGGGCTAGCTCACTAGCGAGACAAATCTGAGCAGGGATTGGGGGATGAAATTAACGAGCTTGAAAGCAGATTCTTCCCCCCAGGCCTGCTTATTTGATCCCGAAATTGTTTGTTTTGAAAGTGACAATTGGGTGTGCCTTCCTTGTGCAGCAAGCGCGCCCGTCCCTTGCCAACACACCACACTACAGCAAAGTTTGACTGCCGGATGCCGCAAGTGCCTGGTGAAAGAAGTCGGCCAAAGAGAGCAGGGCTGCGCAAGGCTTCAAGGAAAACGTAGGAAAGCCTGAAGGGATGCACGCCCAGTTGGGCATGGGCGGTCCTACTGTGGGTGGACAAAATCCTGCACAACTTTGAAACTATGGGAAACCATTGATTGTTGGCATTCACATAAAAATCATCATTCCAGGGTTTCTTAGGTGGTGCAGGAATTCGTCCATCCACAGTCGGGTGCTAGGGTGGAACAACCTTGGCTTGTTGCTAGTTGAGACTCCTCCCAATTTTGGGCCATGCAGGACCACGTGAGTTTATCCGTTTGCGATGCGAGACATTTGGAGGCTGGTGTGCATCATGAAGCTAGTGCCAAAATCAGTCCCTTGGAGCCGAGCCGGTGTTGCTTCACGACTGACGCTTCCCTTTCCCACGAACAAGATTCCGCACAAAAGCAAAAAGCAGGAATCAACGGCACAAGTGACAAAACCAGAACCCAGCAAACAACCCCCGCGTTAAACATGCAATGCCAAATATGAGGTCAAGTCACACGCCTAGTTCTCCAGAGACCCTTGCCCCTGCAATCAATCAAGGCAGCCCAACAAGTATGGAAAGGTGGACAAGTTCTCTTTCTTCATGCCTGCCACCTTTGAATGACTCACAGCGAGTCTATGGGCACTGGTTAGCTTGAGCTCGTTCTGCTCGGTCATCCTTCCTAAAGAGAGTGCAGACAAGAGTTCGTAAGTGGTCTGCGCCCCCCCCCCCCCCAAAACGGGTGAGGTGTTCCTGTTGGTTCCCTTTTGAGCCAACCCCAAAACCGGTTTTTCCCCAAAAACACTCACCCAGTGCTCGGGGGAAGCACGAAGCACGAGGCGCCCCGCAAGATGCCGAGCCCACCTTGGAGGCTGCCGTGATCCAGGCGGGAGGCGAGACGCGGATGCCGGATCACCTCGACTCGGGATGCGAAAATCTGACATTCCAGTTGGCATAGCGGTCCTGTTTGGTGGTTTTGGTAGAAAATTGATGGTTGACCTGCTTAGTTCAGAATCTACCAGGGCCATCCATTTTCCCAAAAGACGCCTAAGAGTTCCCTTGTTGTCTCCCATGGTTGCTCTTGAAAACAGAAGGAACCTGACCCAGTACGATATCCGGGGCCATTGGGCCAGAACGCCAATGCGTTGAACACTAGCACCATGAAGCAAATCGGCAAGTGCTGGACACATGCAAATGGTTGAGAATCTTTGGCGAGGCCTTTCTGCTTATCGCTCCTTTGCTCGCCCCACACTTTACACCCACACCCGAGGACCGGCGCCGGTCCGTTCCCCGAAAGCCCGCAGGCGGTGTTGGGCGCGGGCCTCCAGAAGGACCTGCCGCTGCCCAAAAAGGTGCAAGAGGCGACCCGGGCGGCTGACAACGGTGTGACGGGGTGACGAACCAGGGCATGGCTTGGCTCCTTCCACCCTTACTGGGAATGCCCAGATTCGTGCAATGGCAGAAAAAGGCAGACTAGTGAGGACTCCAGATCTTACAGCATGTGTCATGTTGTGAATCGCGCTGGTGAAAGAGGCTGCTGGCACCCACAGCCCAAGATTGAGGCTAGTCCCTTTATGCCCCATGGCCCAGGAACTTTCAAGGGCTGGTTCCCTTTTCGCCTTTTCGTCCGGGAACCATTTTGGAGGGACAGGAGGGAAGAAGGGAGGAAGTAGCTGAGGCGGTGACATGCTTGCTTTTGAGGGCATGCTTGCTTTTGAGGGTGTCGTTTCGGTGCAGTTGTTTTCGCAAGCTTAAACTTCCAGGAAACCCCAACCGCTTGGTTTGATCCGGCCCCTGGCAACTTTACCGCTTCCACCATTCGAAGGATTCCCAAAGTTCCAGGTTCTCTAGCCGTTTGTCGTATTTAAACATGTTTAGCCACAGAGTTTTTGGGGTCCCTCAGAGACTCCGTCCACGAGGGAGCCACGTTACAGGCCATGGGGGCAGAGTTGGACCCGGACGCCGCCGCCCGCGCGGCCGCCGCCGCCTTCGGGGCCGACTTCGCGGACTACGCGGGGCGGCTCCGCGCGGGGTCCCAGCGGCCCAGTGCTCTGAGGCCAAACAGTCTGGCGTTCTTAGCAAACGTCTGAAGGTTTAAAACTTAGTTTTTTTTTTTTTTTTTTAAAATCTGGTGGAGTGAGTTTGCACTTTTGAAGGACTGACCTTGGAAATAGGAAAACCAGGAAAACCCTTATACGCCTCTTAAAGGGTTCTGTCTCGCAAGCCTTTAACTCCTTGAAGCAGGGCCATCTTGTTACACCCGTCCTTGAGCGGAACTTTATCCCACTCTTTTTGGATGTTTGCTCATGGCTTGCACGTATCTTGCGATGCTCCCTCCAATCATGTCAACTGAAGTTCCCTCGGAAAGTCGCGAGGCCAAGCCGCGGCCGGAAACGCGAGGCGCCTACCTCGCGGAGCTCGAGGCCTCGCTCTTCTCCGAGGGCCTCCACACCCTCGGGGCACCGCCCGGCCGCAGTGAGCTGGAAGGCGGGGCGGAGAGGGCACTGCGCCCCGGGTTGGGGCTGCGGCAAAGCCGAGTCTGGGTGGTTCCCGGCCATGCGGTTCCTTGGCGTGTTGGCCTTTTTAGGTGGAGTACTGGGGGTTCCATTTAGCCCACTAAGCAAGACTGCATAGATTACCAACGAAAGGGGTCAAAAGGGGTCGAGAGGCAAACAATAGCAGGGTCGAAGTGTGAAACCAGGACAAAGTTCGCGATGCATGAGACTTCGTGGCTGCGCCGATGAATGAAGCCTGGAGGGAAACCTGACGTCCAATTTAAAGACTCCATTATCTCACCAAACGTAAGGGAATCTTGCAGAAGCTGACAATGTGGACATGAAAAACAGAGGTGTTGTCAAGGGTAGAAGTGTGGGGCTGTTTTACTTTCGAAGAAGTCACGTTCCGTAGAGTGTTGTCTTGTGAGCCACCCTGCGTAAGGAGGGCGCGGTTTGCTGTGGAGGCACAAGCCAGTTTGCAGACCAGTCCCTGCCTGTGTGGAAGGCTAAACACATGGTGCTGATGTTACGGCAAATGGGCAGATACCTTGTTTGGCCTTTTAGTCATTTGACATTGCCACGCGATCAAGGTCGCAGCCCTTGGCTGAGGCCTTGGTGAAGAAGGTGCCCCATGGGTGTTTGACAGGGTAGGATCAGCAGCCTGTCGCGCAGGCTACCTCACGGGGTGCTTTGATGGCACATTGCCGCCGGAAGCCATTGCTGGGGGCTCAGACCAGCTGAAAACTGTGTGAGCCAGTGCCTCACTTCTCGTTTGACCTTTTGTTTGTTCCCGGTTGTGGCAAGCGGACTAAAACAGATCCTGGGGGCAAATGCGCTGCTCCTTGGCCCCACATCTCTTAAACCTGGGCCCCGCCCAACGTATGTGGCCGAAGAACATACAGTGGAACTGGGAGCGCCAAATTGCTGAAAGCCCAAGATTGTTGGGAGCTTCTAAGCTGGCCTGCTTCGAAAGAAATGTTCTCAATGCACAACTGGGCTCAAACCCGCGACCTCCCCGTTTGCTTCGGGGCAGAGCGTGCAGCCGTTGTGCCGCAAGTGTACTGGGCATGATGCACTTCAGCACTTCGAGCTAGCTGCTGTGCTTTACAAGTAATGCTGAGTCGGGATCTCAACAAATGTTCTGAGGATGCTGTCCAACTAGAACATGGCGCGCTTAACAGGCGCAGGTACTTGACCACCTTCGGATCTTTGGATCAGTGTTGCTCTCTCAGCTAGAAGTTCTCGACAGCGCGTTTGCTTCATACGCAAAAATATCCTCCCTGAAAACACATAAAGTACCTGTTCCAACTTGCCTGAATGTCAGACAGATGTCATGCAAAAACGGCAGCTCCACTCACCAAGCGGCGCCTTTGCACCAATCGAAATCAGAAAACCCATTTTTGCCCAAGGAAAAACAACAAAATACACCCAAACCTGAGCCAACAGCCCAATTCCCCAGACTCCCCTCCCATCCCCAGACTCCCCCCGTGCCAAGCCCCATCGGCACCCTGAGGAGCGCCTGGCGGCGGGTGCCCAGGAGTCAGAGGTGGTGGGCTCCTGTGTACTGACGGCCCGGGACGGCGAAGAGCCCCTCGGAGCGTCTCTTAGCGAGCTGTCGTTTCTCCATCCTAAAGGCCATGGCGTTTTCTGATGTTGTCTGTGGCTTTGAATCTTGTTTTGGCGTGGTGCAACCCAGCAATGTAAAGTTTTGAAACCCAGGCTTCGAACCAGGAGGACAGTTGGAAAAGCAACAACGGGATACATGCAGTAATATGTATCCCTGGCCCTTGGTCCTGCGGCTTCTCAGTAATATTTTGGGCAGAAGAGGTCGGTTGCACAGATGGAATTAGAGTTTGACCCCTAGTTGCATGCGTAATAGCAGAAGATACCTCAATGGAACTGGTGCCCCCCGATATCACTGAACATGACCGAAAGTGAATCTCCGAGCGTATCGCCAAGATGGTCGGGTGTGTGCGTCACCTCATCGCATATCGGTTCAGAGGCCGATGCAAGTGGGGACAGGGTCAGCGTTTGGCGGACAAGGTCACATCAAGGGGGATGGGTGAATGATGATTGAGTGGTCCAGGGTTGCCCGACTCAATCAGAAGTTTGGGATGGTTTGAGCGCTGGCCCTGAATGTTGCACCTGAGGGGTGTCTCTAAATTAGGAGCCATGCATGGTGGGCGGCTTCGATTGAACGGAAAGAAGATGTGAGGCCATCCCAGTTTGGTAAGACATGCTGTACCAGAATGTCGCTTAAGGAGAAAACCACAGGGCGTGTTTTTTGTACCCAGGCAGCAAATGCTTCCAGTTGTTGGCTGCTTCCAGTTGTTGGCTGCTTTCAGACACGCATCGGGTCATCCTTGTTTTGTTTGTTCGAAGTTTGTGGTCCCGACCCCTGCAAGTGGGATTCCCCTCTTGCCAAATCAGAGTTTTGATCGTGCCCCACACGTGAGCATCGCCTTGTTGTGGCCAAGTGCTGAGCAAAGCCATAGTGTCCATGTCCAGCGGTTCGCTGACACACCATTCCACCCACCTTCCTGTCTTACTGACCAATTGTTCAACATGGTTCCTTGTGGACAGACAATTCTGATCATGGTTTCTCTTGTGTTGCATGCCCTCATCATGTTCGTGTTTCCAAAGTACTGAATATTGGTGGGTTTGCGTTACTCCCCTTCAAGTATGAAATGTGTCGATGTTGTGGGGGACATCCCAGAGTCGTTGACAGACAGATCGGCCGAGGACGCGTCATGCCATCAAGGAGGCCTTGAGAGTGAGGGAATTGCTGGCCAGCAACACGGAGGAAGTAGCAGGCACGGGTTTAAGCCGGCAGCAGGTCGTTTTGTTGGATCTTGAGTTCGTCGTTCGTAACATGCTCTTGTTTTGTGTTGTTTTGTGTTGTTTTGTTGTTGGTTCTGCGCGTGTTGTGTGGGTTTCCGAGAGGGGGGGGGGGACGCAGAAAACAACGTGCTACTAGCCGCTACATTGTCCTACCAGGGATTGAAACATGTTTGAAGGGGACGTATTTTTGAGCTGTGCAAAGCCGACCTTGTTTAATCTTCTCTATGATGCACCGCATGCAGAAAAGTCAACCTTGCAGCACGAGGTCCTTTGGACAAGTTGTACTTCATGTTATGACCCTCCCGTCCCCATCCTCCTGGATCAGCTGTGCACCTGAGTGGCTTCCTTTTGGTCAGATTGAGAAGTAGCGCTGGAACAAATGGCACCGGAAGCCAAACGCTACCCTGTGTGCACTTGCTTGAATAGTTTTCCCGGTGCGGTTTTGAACATTTGAAGGCCTTTGGGTGCATACTGCGGTGAAGTGAGCTCGCCTGGTTCATCAAGACCTCGTGCTATCACAACGCCGGCGCAGAGTGGCTCAACTTCCCTGAGTTAACACGGAGCCAACCATTTCATCCATGTGGAGGAACGGACCCTGTCTTGAGGTTTGCTGTCAATTTGCAAGAGGATATCAAAAGACTTCAGCGCTTGTTCGTGCCCGGAGGATATTATCATCACCGTTCTGAGTGCACCACCCTGAGGGTTAATGTCATTCATTCTACCTGACCCAACGCGTCAATAGAGCACAAGGGATTCAGGCAGATGCAAAGGTCAACACGCGGGCCTTCGAGTTGACTGATCCCTTCCAGATTGGCCTTTACTAAGCAATCGTACCTCACACCTGCAAAAGTGGTTCAGGTGTTGTTGCAAGGCGCACACCTCTGCTAGCATGATCTTACACATTAGAGAAACCACATGCGGAGGGGGGACCCACCGCATGCTGTCTAGATGATCTGTCACTGGCATTGTAGGTTTTCTGCTTCGGTTTCTGGGGTTCAGTTAAATGGTAGGCCACCCCAATTGCTGGGGCTAAACTGGGTTTGGGAGAGAGCTTTCTGGAGGTTGCGGACCACTCATCCAACTCTTCAACCCATCCCAGTCGAATCCTGAAGCTCCGAAGCTCACTAGGCATGCTCCGCGCCCTGAACGGCGAGTTCGCCGGGGCCCAAGCTGCTCTGAGACCAGAAAAGCAGAGCCGCAACTGTCGCAAGGTGTTTGGTTCACCAAAGTTGGCCAACTGATTTTGGCGATTCTCACCCAAAAACCAACGCGAAGCTTGGTTGCGGAGGTCTTCCGAAGAGAATGTGAGCCATATACCCAAGGAAAGGGTTGCCATCCTGCTTGGGAACAAGGGCAGCAGGCAGAATGTACAGCACGTGCAAGAAACAACGGGTGACCATCTTTGGAAAGGCTGTGTAGGGATTCAAGTATGCCTGGAGCACAGAAATAGGCATACATTATCCTACGAAATGTAGGGATCAGAGTGTTCACTGGCAAAACATCATCGGAAGATGAGGGACTGTGACATTTGCTGTGGCGATGCTCAAATGTTGCTTGAACTGATCCCTTATCCTTTGTTCGCCGGTGGTTTAGTGAACAACTAGGCATAGTCTGGTTCCAGACCTGTTCTGTCCAATAGTTTGTTTTTGTTTGGTTGCGTGTTTGTGCACTTAGTCGGCTTGGTGCATTTGTGTGTGTGCGCACTCGCGTGCATGCAACAGGCTAAGGCGCCGTTTGTTCCCTCACCTAGCTACCTAGGCTTGTTCCCAGCTGGCATTGAGTTGCAAGCCTCCCAGAATGATTAATATATTTTGCCGGTGTACCAGATATGAAAAACATGCATAGCATATCACAGTATAAACAATGGACATTCAAGAGACAAAGGACACGACCAGGAAGGCAACAAGCAAGCCAACTTTGGCATCAGCAAGTCTACGCAGAGAATCGCACGGAAGGCTTTGGGAGGAAACCGCACCGGGAGACGCTCAACGCTGTAAGGTCCCCCCAGCCCCGGGGGGCGACCTTATCCGCGACGGCGCCTCAGTTCTGCCCACCGGCAGGCGGGCTGCGGGGGAAGCAGCTGGACTTTGGACTGAACATGTTGTGGGTGACGAAGTGCTGGCGGGCGGCTTGAAGCAGTGGCAAGATATCTAGTAGTGGTCAGGTTCTTTACATAGGTTGGATACCGCGGTCAAGGAACATGTTTGCAGAGTCCGAGAAGTACTCCCTGAAGCGTGGCTGCTTTTCCATGAAAGGAGTTTCTTTAAAACACCCAACAAGGCTGCGTTGTTTGAATGGCTGAGCAACTCTCTGGGAGGCTTTTCAGAGTTTGGCTTCCAGCCGTTGAAGAGTTATTCTCGGAGGAAATTACAATGGTAGGGACTGGGAGGGATATTGTCACCGAAAATGATTATTTGTGCTTGAAATGATGCACCCTGATGGTTGGTAGCGCCCAGACTGAGTTTCTAGAACTCGGATTGGCAAATTGGGCAGCGCCAGGGAAGGCGGGTTCACAGTGCATATCTGCAATGTAAGTTGTTTTTTTGTTTTACAAGCATGACATGACATGCACTTGTCAGATTCACAAATTAATGTGCGTGACTCTTCGATTTACTTTCTTAGTGGGGACTCAAGCCAAGTATATGAAATTGGCTGACGCCCACTCGTGCAACAACTCTTGTGAGCAAATGGTGCATGCCAATTATTCTTGGATGCACAGGTAAGTGTAGTTAGACACCACCAGCACGTGCAATGGCAGGAACATTCACGCGCTGGACCCCTTCCGAATTCCCAGCAACTTGGCCCGTGCTGGAATGCTCTTGCAGTCTTGGGGTCATTATATTTGTGTGTTGTCAAAGTTCTTGAGGTTTTCGAGCATGGCCTTTAAAGGATATCGACTGTTCCCGCAACAGATCAGCATGACTATACAGCACATCTTCAGGGTGACTTTTTGAACAGCACTGCTTAAAATGATACTGTGGATGGACGAAATCCTGCACCACTTTGAAGCCATAAAAACCATTGAGTGTGGGTATTTCCGGGGAATGATCATTCCAGGGTTTCTTAGGTGGTGCAGGATTTCATCCATCCACAGTATGTTCATTGTTCCCTGTAGATGGAAGCCCTTCCTCAGGTGCCCATCCGTCTTGAGCCGTGGCTTTGATGTCTGTTGGGCTCACCTATGCAGAGAACAGGATCCTCTGGAGACGAGTTCGTGATCGAATTTTCAAGCCCTCGCGGTTTTCCCTGTAAACAAGCCTGGCACCAGATTGAGGCTCTGCAAGTTCTGTATACTTCACTCTCGTCACCTTGAGTGTTCCGTTCTGTGCCACGGAGTCCTGCAAGTTCCCTTCATTTTGTCCAGGCTTGGGCCACTGAAGGGAGTCTTTTGGTGAATAGTTCAACATACATTGTGCTTCTTATGGGAGCCATTATTGTTGGGACCCCCTCAACTGTCGTGGCAATCTTAAGAATTTGAGCGTTACTGAGCTCATTCAAGGGGGCATCAAATACCTGGAAAGATTTGTGCGCTGCGGGCGAATGGTTAAACTTCATGGAACAGCGGTTTGCAGGTGCTGATGATTCTTGTGCAAATCAAGAGGCCGGGATACTGGGGCAGCACAATTGCAACTGCCACATAAGGAGTCACATGTTGTGAACAACATGATCATGATGTGCTTTCTTGGGAAGATTAGCCTAGCCGCAAACATTTAGCGCTTTGAACCAGAACACGCGGTAGAGTCAATGTCTTTCTCTTTTGTTTGACAAGTTGAAATCAACCACAACCAAAGCATTGTAAATTCCGACCTTGTGAACCAGCATTAGCCATAATCAGCCAGAGCTACAATTAACAAAAGTGATCAACCCGTGAACCACCAGCACCAGATGTTCCTTCAAGCCAACAGCGCAGTACTTTCGTTCCCACCCAACGGCCCCGTGGGATTCAGGCCAGACCGCTCTCCAGCGGGGCATCCAGGCAGCTGAGAAGAGCATCGAGCAGCAGCTGGGACTGGCTCTCTGCGACATTTGCGGTGAGCTTTTGCTTTTGGAAGCGTTGTCCAAAGCGAATCGACCTGAAATGACCGGTTGGTTGTCCTGTTTGGGCTTTTCGAGGTTAAAGGCCCCAAAAGGTGATTGGGCAACTGAGGAAGCTTTGGCCAGCGAGCGTTCACACTTTTGCCTGGTCCCTGTAGTAAAGCGAGGTTTCTTCTTCACTTGCGGCTGGGCCAAGTTCGTGGGCCACACGAGCTTTAGGGCGTCCAACATCTTGGCCGCCAAGCATGGTCAAAAGACACCCTGGATGCCGGATAACCTGATCAAGTGGTTAACTTTGTCTAAAGGAGACCACAAGGCACTGGATGGTTAGACCACCTGTGTCACACACACGCACACAGCTAGTGGTCACAAGGGGGATTCCCACATGACATGTTCCAAGCTTTGTTCATCATTCTTCAAGCCCAAATGGCAGGTTCAAGGAAAGCGGAAGCGACCCCAAAAGCTGAAAGCTGAAGCGGACAGAGATGCAGAGTCGGAAGCTTTCCTTTTCTGTACTTTGGTGCCAAATTACTCTAACTCATGTTTATGAGTTCCTCGGAAGAGAGCAACAGGGGGACAGATCATTCAACTTTGCAGACTGGTTGCAGCTGCAGCATTTGCCTTGTATCTGCGAGATCCTGAGTTCAGAACGGAATCCGGAAACCAACCAGCAAGGCGGGCCTAGTTTAAGAATCATCCATCTTCCTGCACGGGCTCCAAATAAATACCTTTTGAGAAGCATCCAGAGACACTGCAACCCGCCCGAGGCAGCTAAGGGGAACACGGCACCGGTGCGGCAACAAACATGGAGCATGTGAGTGTCCCACGGCGCAGGATGCATGGCACATTGAGCCATTCCCCCTTCTTTTATGCCCTTTGTCTCACTCCCTGAGATCCTGAACTCAACACTTTTCGGGAAGGCAAGTTGTTGTGGCAAACAAATAGTTTGGACTGTGTTGCCAATTTATTCAGGAAGTGGGTCGTTTAGCGGCATGAAGGCGTTCATTTGCTGTCTACGCGAGGTATCGCAGGGACAACGATGGCGCCTTCCCGGATGCTCGGCCAAGGCGGAGAGCTGGACATGGCCCCCGTTTCGGACATGGGTTTGTTTTGAATGGGGGACAATGCTGGGGTTCGTTTTGGCTTCCCTTCAAGCGTCCTCCGTGCCCCATGTTCACATCTTCAGGTGTGCCTAGAATCAGCTCGCAAGCTGGTGGCAGCAAAGCTACAGGCAAGCACGCCCCAACGCGGGGTCTTTCTTGTGCCAAGCAGCGCCGCAAGATCCATGGTCACAGAGTTGCCAGACAGGGGAGAAGCAGCATACATCGACCGACTCCTGAATCGCAGATTGGTACTACACAACTGGAGGTGGCCAAAGATGATATAAGGGGCAGTTTTGGATGGCTGCTTCAGATGCGGCCAAAAGGAAACCAGCCATCTGAAAGATTCCCCTATTTTAGCGCATCCTTCCTAGCCTTAAAAGCATGGGTGAGGGCGAGACTCCTAATGCAATCACATGCTTGATGTATCTTTCCTCACCTGAGTCTTGTAGACTCCTAAGTGTTAGGAAAGTACACGTACGGCGGCAAGTAAGTTGCTCTGGCCGCTGGTGTTTTGCCAAAACTCTGCCCCTGCCCAATAGGGTTGATGCTGGGCGAACATGCAGTGAAGTGCCATTCGTGGCCCAGGGCAGATTCGACAGTCTCGGAGGATTCTGCAGACAATTCTTCATGTTAAGGTTTCCCTGGACAAAACAGAAGCCGCCAATTTGTAGAGCTGCTCCAGTAGCCATAGAATCCTTAACGGAAGGATGCTCAAACGGGTGGTTCGTAGCCCCAGGGTTCAGCAGGATTCCTTCGGAAAACTCGGAAAGCCCAAGGATTCTGCTATGCCGGACCAACCCTATTCAACAACCAACCCTTGTTCATACCAGTTCATTACGCCCAGCCCCTTGTCCGTTGTACTTACCCCATCAGAACACTGGGGCGTGCCACGGTTCATTCAAGTAGCCCTTGCGATGCTCCCGCAATGTAGCCTCTGTCCAACAATCATGCAAGTGGACAAGAGGTTTTCCAATAGGAAAGTATTGTTCCATATCTTCCTCTCAGCCTCCATGACTACTGGAAGGAGGGTAACCATTGAAACAGTGCTTCTCCTGATTTTCCCCATGCTGGCCAAGGAGACCATCGCGGTGAATCTTTGGGGGCTTGAGGCGCCTCCGCGAGAGCAAGCGCGGAAGCAAAAGACGTGGGGCTATTTCAACACGAAACGGGGTCCGGTTTTGTGTGTGTGTGTGTGTCAAAATGGAATCCAAGATTTGGAGAGGTGGCTAATGCTGACACATGGTCACACAGGCCTTTCTTGCGGGGGTTGTGGTACAGTCTGTCTGTCTGTCTCTTTGCGGAGAACCCCATGTAAAGAGTATCGAGGAGACTGAAGCTTTTGTTTGCTTTGAAAGTGCGTACTGATCCAAAGAGATCCTATTTGGCTCCGGCTCATGGATTTTGTTGTGCTGATTGCCGTGTTGTCGTTGTTTTGTATTCGGGATTGCAAAATATGTCTCTATTGGGAGCCTGGTGCCATCCATGTAGTTTGCAACTTTTCCTGAGCCCATGGCTTTGCCAGTGGCAGCATGGATGGGTTCCCCCTCAAGGTGTTCTGTTGCTTCCTTTGTGCATCCTTCCTGTTCTGTCCACTGTCCTTTCATTGTCAAAGCCCCACTGGTCTGGGGTCCCTACATGTTCCTTTCGGAAAGGGTCACGTATTGTGGATGCGTAGCCACTCAAAATGGATTGGTCCTTTTTCGACTACCTTATTAGCAGAAGGTATGGCTTTGCACACCTCCAAACTTGCCGCAAAAAAGGCAAAGCGGCCACCCTGAACTTTGCAATGACAAATAGAATGACCTTGGAACCAACATGTGGACCCAATAGAATGGCCCCATGTTGGTAACAGGGGACTGAACAATTATAAACATGGTTGTCCCATGATCACAAGGCAGTATGTTTTGATGGTAACCCACAGCCCCAGTCTAGTGCCCCATTCTATGGGTTCCCCTATTTTGGAGAGAATCCACCAAAACGACAGGTTTCCCTGGACAGTTTCGTTTTAGAACCACCGAAGAAAAAGTTCCCCCACAAAAAACACACCATAAGGCCAGTTAAACTTCTTGCCTCAGGCCATCAAGACCCGTGGGGAGTCCGTGGCGGTGGTCCTTGGCCTCATCGGCGCCCGGCCCGTGGCTGAGGCCACCGGCCGAGTGGCGCGCTATGCGCCTCAGATGCCAAGTGGAGGTCATCCTTTGGTGTTCCTTTGGGCTAACCCAAAGATGGCTTTGTTTTGCTTCGCGCTCTTTCTGTTCGTTGGTTTCCCAGATCGGTTGGTTTGTGATTCCTCTATCCATGGCCTCCGGTCATTGATCCGGGACGCTGACCTTCCTGATAAATAAAGAAGGGTCATTCTTCAGGGGTTGCACTGAACCCCCCCCATAAAAAAAAAAAAAAAAAAAAATGACAGAAACAAGCCACGGTTTCCAGTTCCCTATTTCTGAAACAGCCTTTTGACCCGACTCTCCGGTCGAAAGTAAAACCCACTAAAGGAGGATTGCTGCACGCACACAGAACACAAGAAAGCAAAAAGAGCACTCTGGGTGGCAGACAGCGGTTTTTTCATGTTGACATGCTGTGGGAAGTGCAACTTACCAGCATCACAATTTTGTTGGGCCAATCACCGCCAGGAGTGCAGAGGTGTATTGTCGGATGTCCCTTACTCATTGATCAATTAATGAATGATAAAGTTGATAAAGTCTGTTCAACAGAGCAACACAATGACGTAGCAACGTCGTTTGTCGGTTCTTAGACACGGTTCCGGGTTCCTGATTGGTGCTGTTACTGGAAGTGCAGGTGTTTCAAGCGCCACCAACCCCGGTTCACAACGAGTGACTTGCTAAGCGGCACTCAGGAGCTCATCCCCTTGGAGGAGCTGGGCAGGCCCCGCGTAGATGCCTTGTGCTCCCTGAGCGCCTCGGATGGACGAGCGCCTTGGGCCGGGGCTGGCAGATGCTGACGGCGGGGGGGGAGGGCCAACCATGAGGGTCCAACTGTGCAGTACAACCAACAACGAGTGCTCTGGGTAGATTACAAGTGAGGCAGTCGAGGATTGGTTGAAAGCTGATTCCCTACATCGACTGCAAGTTGGTTAACCAGCAAGTTGGGCAGAGCACCAAGAGTTTCTTGTTACCAATGCGAAGGTAAACGACTACGTACAACAGCGGGCCAAAACCAGACAAATTATTTGAGCAGCAAGTCCTTGAGCTATGTCTGACCTCCGATGCTTAAATTGGCCAATGGGCAGAAGAAGCCAAAAAGACCGGCAGGCTAGGAGCTCCAGGAGATTGTCCCTTCTCCCCATGAATAAATGCAGCCTATTGAGAAATAGGCATTCTTAGGAAACCAAACAGAAGCAACTGCTCTCCACTTGCAACACCTCCTGGAAGCGGTTCCCCCGGAACAAGGCCCGCGTGGTGGGAAATGATGGGCTGTTCCCGCTTTCTGCCAAAGGGACATCTAAACCCGTGGAGCCCATCTAGTTCTAACCCAAACCTGAAAAAGGACACCAACGGTCATCAAAACCTATCAAACTTGTCTACCCAAACGAATGTAAAGACCCAAACCCCGGATCTTGGCTCAGACTGTCCCTTGCTACGCTTCATTTGCCGTGCCTTTGATTGTGCCTCAAGCCATTCAGAAAATGGTGCCAGTTGCTCAGCTAGTTTCCCCAGGCATCTTTAGACTGCTTGTCGGACTGTCAAGACATGGTGTCGGTAAGGCTTCCACGTGATGTCTTCCCCGGAGAATACAAACAGGCGTTCCCCCGTATTCAGTACCCCCACCATCGTTACTCCGTGATATCACTAGAAGGCCTTCTTTCTCAATGACGAAGCATTCGGGTATGCGTCCAGCACGGCAATCTCAAAATTGAGGTTTCCTGTTGGTTTGGCTTTCAAAGCACCCCAACAAGGGTACCGAGGCTCCGGAAAAAAAAAAAGCACGCCCACTTTACGGAGCTATTTGGTTGGATGCTCTTCAACTTCTTGATTGAAAGAGTTCTTTTTTTTTCCGCTTGCACCCACACAAAGTGAGGAGCCTTGTGGGGTCAATGGCTCAAAGCAGCTGCACGATGCCCAGGCGGCATCTTCCGGGACTCCTTCGCCAACGTCGTGGAGCTCCTGGACGATGCGCTGCAGCGGGCCGCCAAGGCAGACGAGGCTCCGGAGCAGAACTTTGTGCGGAAGCACTACCTGGAGCCAGCCGGGCGTGGGTTTGGTTTCGTTTTTTAGGAGGATTTTGTGTGTTCCGTTTTGGTGCCATGTTGTTCCGTGCTGGTGCCATGTTGTTCCGTTTTGGTGCCAGTTTGTTCCGTTTTGGTGGCTTGAACTGTTTGGGATGTTCTTTGAGTTCTGCTCGGTGGCCATGTTTGAGTGTTTTTTTGAGTGAGGCTTGATCCAATCTGAGTGGTTCTTTCTTGGATGATCAAGTGTCTCCTAGCGTTTGCAGGCGGCCGGCGGGCCGGTGACAGTGGTGCGGCGTTCTCATCAGGTGATGCCAACAAGTTTGATGAGGTTGGAAAGCAACAGCGAACCCTGGCCGTTGTCCAAGTTGGCACCCGGAAAATGTCCGAGCAGTGCCAGGAAACTTACCAAGAGAGTCAGCGCTTCACCGCAGCAGACACTGTTCCGGTTGATTGACATGTAAAGTAGCAAGTCCGAGTGGCCTCGAAGACAACATTCACATGTTGTTCAACTTTGTTATTCAGTTTAGCGGCAGCACTGCTAGTAACATATCATGTCTCCTACTTTGGCCGGATGCGAAAGCATCAGGCCCTGAACGGAGCGAGTTCTACCTGGCATGCCTGTGTTTCCCATGATGACCACATGCGTTGGCAGCACCAGTACCGGAATGACCCCCCTCTTTCCCGATGTTTCAGCTTTTGCTTTGTGGAATTGATTCTTGTCAAAGTAGGGGAGCTATCAATCAACATAAAATAACAGCACATTAAATGATCATGGTACCGGGAACCAGCGAGCAAGAGGCAGGCAGGCAGGCAAGCAAGCACTCAAGCAAAACGTTTCCCTCCCGCGTTTGCGCTCTCCAGATTCGAGGAGCTGCTGGAGCAAGAGAAGGACGAAGACGCCGCGCTGTCCCGCATTTTCTCCAACGCTGCTGGGGAGTTCGGTTCCCTGGTGACGCCTGGCGCTAGTTGGGCTTGTCTTGAAAGCAGGGGGGTCGGCGACTTGGGATGGGGGTCCGTGAGGATCGGAGGTCGGGGTGGGAAGGCCCCAAAAAAGCAAGCAATATTATGTTTTGTTGACTTTCCAGAAGGCCGCATGGAGCAAAAATGAGGAAGATACACAACTGACTGGCCAAGTTCTTCCCTATGCGGTGTCAAGGGAAGGGCGGCGCACCGGTTGTATTGTTGCACTGGAGCCTCAAAATAACTGGGGTGACTGTAGCACTGTTTGACCCTCCCTTTCAGAGCACTTCCCACTGAAGCCCTTGCAGCAAATTGCAGCCAAGGAACGAGCGGGTGGTGGCTGGCAACTGGGAGAACGACCAGGACACCGTGTGCAACGCTACCACGGGTAGGGACCTGAGCTGACCTCGGGTAAAGCCAATTTTTGTTCCGTTCCCATCTGAAAGATGCACTCTCAGGCGTCAACCAGTGGCTTGGATTGGCGCCGATTTGGCGAACATCCGTTTTCAGCTGGGTGTTGCATAGCCAACAGCTTTTACGACTCCACATGTAAAGAGAAAGTCTTAGCTGACAGTTCACTCCATTTCGGTGGCTTAAGACAAGCACCCCAAATGAACACATAGCATACCCACTATTTTTCAAGCAAAAAAGGAGGCAGGTTGCTATATGTTTCTTCTCTTGTTCCTCCCCAGTGCTCGGCTGTGTGGCTCACGCCAGGAGCTTGGAGAGACCTGGGCGTCGCGGAACGCCTTCGCCTTCGGCCGGAACCAGCGGGGCACGGAGCGTGGCAAGGCGTCGACGCATCGACACGAGGGTTGGACGCCATGGACGTCATGCTCAGTTCCCGAGTTCCGCTTCGGACTTTACTCACTTTTTGGGTTTGGACCGGTTTTGTGGTAAACAAAACGGCTTGGACTTGTTTTGGCCCATCTACTCAGAAAGTGAGCATGTCGTTCTGTTTGGCTTCAGCTTTCTTTGTGTCCAATTGTTTCCAATAGCCTGTTCACCACCCAGTCGCCATTTGCACTGGTGCCTGTCCATGTTGATTTCAGGTTTGGCCATGATCCAGAGGTTGCCTTTTTTTCTTGGGGGTGGGGGTGACGATTCAAGGCGTTTATATATATATATAGTTTCTTCTTGCTTTTACCTAGCGTATTTGTGTTTTCGAGGGAGCCCTTTGAGCGAATCTCTACACGTGTTTCCTTGGGACCATTTTCAAGGGTTTGCTGGGGTCCTGTGTGGGCCTTTCAAAGGGCTCATGTGCGTTGTTTGTGTTGCAGGGGGGCCAAAAAAAAACAACTTATAAATCTCACAGCATGTGTTGCCATAATTGGCTCTCTTCTTCTAGAACTTAAAAGCATTTGAGAACGTGCGCCGCATAAATATGTGTGAGAGCTGCGCCTGACAATGTTCAGCAGGTTACTTGCACTTTATGCTAAAAGCTTTGTCCGTGCACCGACAATAGGTGATTCCCCTAAAACCAAGCCACAAGTCAAGAGTCTTGAAACCAAAGCAGATCTTCTATTTTACCCCATGCTTGCCCTGAAGCAGTCAAAAAGGCACCCCTCTTGCCGGAAGGTGCTGGACAAGTTGTTGGGCAGCTCGGGCTCCTTGGTGCAGCTGACAGACTCGGTGGAGTATGGCCTCACTGATATCCAGGCGGGCGAATCGATGGGCCCAAACAACACGCGCAGTGCTCATGAGGCATCTAAGGTCATGAGTTGTCTGGTCATGCCCTCAATAATCGCAGGGTGTTTTTGTTTTTGACTCCATTTCAAGTCATGGTTATGAGCTAAAATAAGCTCCTCGTCAGCCAACATCAGGAGGGTTCGCCTGGGCCAGGTGCTGGTTTCTCCTTATATACGGGTTTGTGTTTTGATGAGCGTACCTTCTGTCGGGTTGGTTTAAAAGGAAACCAAAAGGAAGCCAAAGATTTTGGGGTTCCCCATTTTAAGACACAGCCAGGTGGTTAGTTTCACTTCAAGGGGCAGTTGGGCCTTTTTACTAGATTGCAGAAGCACCTATCCTGGGGCACGTGGTTGTCCCCCCCCCAAAAGGAAGGCGTGCCTTTTCAAAGTTCAATCAAGCAGCTCAGAGGATCCTACCTGCAAAAGCTTCCAAACTCATCCTCATGCATGGGATTAGATACTTTTCATGCCTGCAAACTTTCTTCTGGGAGTGTCTAGCCTTTTTTCACTTTGGCATTTAACATTTTCAGACGGGCGTGTAAAGTTATGGTCGAATATTCCGACACTACCGTCACGTTGGTCTCACTGTTTGCTGCGGGGTGCTCTTGCTTCACTTGCCAACATGAGAAGTGGCCAGTAGACCTTTAGGAGAAAGAGTTGCCAACGTGGGTGGTGTGCTGCAGGGTTTTGTTCTGCGTCTTGAGGGTTCTGCTTGGTTTGTTCCCTGTTGGGTTTTATCAACGAAAATATTACCAACAATGGCAGTGGCAGTGCAGAAACTACTTATGTTGACATGCGTCCTGTTGGGGCTTTGCAATAGAATCTATCATTAGAAGTGAATCAGATCCGGCCTTCTCAGATGGGTCAATAGGCGGGTCTTCCAGAAGCAAAACCGCAATTGGTCGTGTCAAACCAAGAGTAGATTGAGCACGCGTGGCAAGGAGGAAGAATCAGGAAGTTGCCCGGAGTATCACCCACTCACTCATCGGACTTACCCAAAGCAAAAGTGCCCCAAGAATTAAGCCGTTCCTCGATCCGCCACACTTATAATAGGCTCCCGGCTAATCAGAATCACATGAGTACGTCATTGTCGCTGCACATACCTCAAGGCAGCATAGGCACCTTGAAAATGGGTGGTGTCCTTTTGGTTCCCGTTGCTGGTCCCCAATGTCAATGCCTCTCCCCGCTACCCAGGAGTACTACGCCAACTCTGGTGCCATGGTGCGGCGCATGAGCCGCTTGAACAAAGCCCCAGGAGTGAGTGTGCAAAGGGGCGCTTTTTCAGGTCGCGTTTGCCGCAGGAAAGTAAAATGACGAGTTCCAGCGCAGAGGGGCACAAGACAAGGAATCCTGTGGGGCCTTTATCACGTACAGAGAGGTAGTCTACGAGGATTTGTTTTTCATGTTGTTGGGAACTGGGGCTCACTCCCACTCTCGAAACTCGTCACAAGCTTTTTGTACGGATGTGAGGCACACCCTCCTTTTGAAGAATAGAAATAGATGGGGCCTTATGAGGTACCCTTCTGCCCACACGAGTGGAAGCGCACAGACCGAACCTGTCTTTGGAAAAGGAGGAACCAGCAAGGCACCTTCGGCTTGCGTCCATAAGGTGGACCTCTCGTCGAAGGCTCCGAGGAATTGCTGGACCTCCCCAAGACTTGGGGAGCGAAAGACCTGATCTGTTTGGGATCAGCATGGGCTAAGTGCATGTGCTTTGTGGCATTTCCCTGCCCCAATTCAAAGGGATGGGAAAGAGGGCCGCCTGTCCCCCTCCCTCGCCTCGCCAAATCCGATCCTTTGTGGGGGAACATGGGCCCACCTTTCGCGTCGCGAGTTGGTCGGAACAAGCATCGTTATGGCCTAACATGGTGTAATCCCAAAGAATGGTTTAACCCCAAGACTTGCAAACACACACACACAAACGCATCTTAAACAATAAACAAGCATAAGCATGCAAAGAGCAGTGCAAATTTGGTGAACCCCCAATGCCCTTTCCTTTGGCTTGTTATGTCGCGAAGCTTGAGGCGACCTACAGAAGCGCAAGGTGGAGGCGCTGGTGGTGGACACCACGCAGAAGCAGGTGGCGCCCCGTAGCCCAGCTCAAGCTAAGCGGAGCGGGAGCTGCGATCTGGGTGAAAACCAGTTGAGTATCCTTCTTGGGTGTTCGAAGTTGTTGAAAACCGTTCGGCTATAACCCACTCACAAGTCCCCCGTTCAGCTGGGTTGACCCTTGTTATATATGGCGGCTATGCCCCAAGTGGCTAAGCACTTTAGTTCGGATGGGCGAAAATGATCATGTTGGCTTTCTTTCAATTGTGTTTTTCTGATGGTGTCATGATGGCAGCCTTCAAATGGTGTCACTTTATTGTCATGTTGGAAGGATTCACTAGAGTGGTTCCCGAAAACGGCCTCCTTCAAAGGGGTTCATGTCGCTTTCCTTGAGAAGCATTCCAACAAGGGGTCCCACTGCTGAGCTACTCGCCATGATTGAAAGTAGTGGTTGCTAGCACAGGGGACTTGCAAACATGGGCTGTGGGTGAGTACCGGGAAGCCAAATGAGCTCTCTGTGTGGTTTTTGTATGCTTGCCCTTCAAATTCTTGGTGGCTCGTTCCGCTTTGCCCTCCAAAAGTACCATATCATACGCAACTGGTTCTGGGACATACACAGCCGGCAATCTCAAGCTCGAAACATGGTGTCCTCACTGGGGGTAAAGTACCCCTGTGCAGAATCGTCCCTGCCGAGGCCCGGTTTCACCTGCACATTTCCGTAGGAGCCGCTAGTCCTCCAAAACCTGCCTCCACTTTCATGATGGTTGGACCGAGGGTATCATTTCTTGGCAGCGTGCTTCTACTTTTCAGGGGTGAAAGAAAAACCATTGCGTTTACAGAGCTGTTTTTGATGTCCCTCCCTCCATATTGTTAGTGCGTGTATGCTTGGGCATCTATGTGTGAAAATGTTTTGTGTGGGTGTCTCTTTGTGTGTGTGTGTGTGTGCTGTTTATCATGTTTGTGTTTGCGTATGTGTGGGGGGGTCTTTCTTTTCAAATGTCGAGCCACGGAAATGTTCAGGTTGGCCCCGAGGTGACAGAAGGTGCCATGTGAAGCTCATAGGAGGGAATAGTGTCCTGGGAGATACTTGGTTTGACAGTCCCCCTAGTTAAGTGGGCAGTTACGGCCATGTGTATTGCTTTGGGCAGGACCCATCTACAGAGAAACAAGCAGAAAGAATACGCAATCAGCAGGCAACGTCCAATTTCAACAGCAATGTGTATGAATATGATACATATATATATATATATGTATTGACATATTTTCTGTACATGCCCTGGATCCATGCCTGATACATGGGAGGTTGCTTGGCTTACAGACTTCAGTGCACACCGAAACTGTTTGAGCGCAATGACTCTCCCATGCAAGGCAAGTTGGACTCGGTCCTGCGCATGGAGTACCGCACCAAGCTGCTGAACCCCAAATGGGCCGAGGCGGGCTGGTTGGGAGACATCGGGGCAGACGTTGGGTTTCTTGAGCTGTTGCGTCAGTTGTCCCAAGCGAATCCACTCCTGCTTGTTTCCATTCCAGTTTCCTTTCGGTGTTGTTTTGATGTACTGGCTTGGCCTATGTCGTGTTGCGGTTCCCGAAGCTTCACCTTTCATTTCTTGGTCTTTTGCACAGCATGAGTTGGCATGTGTTTGTTCCCAATCTTTGCGCCTGGATCACTGAATGTGGCCTCAAAATTTTGCCACGCTTGCGCACAGATCTAATGTCAGAAATACACGTAGTCTTTCAATCGCCCCTCCAGCAACTGCCCAATTGAAACATCCGCAAGGCAATTTATTCAATTTTTGCGCCCCTACGACTTACTCGGTGCCCACTTTCCTTTTGAGTTGGGAAAGCCGCAAGGGTTGGTCTACGAGTCTACCAAAGCCAGCCTTTTCGGGGCTGTCTCTCATTCTCGGCTTCCGGCTGAGGCTATGGTGGCGCAGGGCTCGGGGGGCGCCTTCGAAGTGTCGCAGCGCATGACGGCACTGCTGGGCTGGGGCGGCACCACCCGCTTCGCCGAGGAGCGACCGGAGAATTTCTAAATGAGAGCGACTCAGGTCCCATGTTCCAAATAATATACTCGCGTGTTTGACTGCTTTGATCTCAGCCCATTGGGACTCGGATGATGCAGCAGTGCATTCCATAGAGAGAGAGAGAGAGACTCGGCGTAGGACAGTAGGGTTGTTGCCTACCCATATTTGTGAACCCAGAAGGAATTGAAGGAATGGCGCTTCAATTTCCAGACCTCTATTCAGTATCCAGTAGCCTTGCTTCCTTGTTTCGCCAGGACTGGGTCTGGAATCAGAGCGCTGAACGCTACGTGCCATGGCAGAAACAGAGGCTGAGTGCGGGTTGGAGGATGATTACTGTGATGTGCTGAGTCCAAAGCAATCGGCCTTCTGAGCCTGTGGGTCTCCATTTGAAGGTCCAGTTTAAGTCATGGCCAGGGTTCAACCTGCTAAAAAGCGAGATCTTCGGCTGCGTGAGTGTTGGTTTCAACTGGGGTCTTCCTCAGAACCAAAACCAGGTGCTGGATGAGGACATGGCCAAGCGGCTGCGCGAGAGCAACCCGGAGGCCGCGAGCTCTGCGGACTGCCAATTGAAACTGCACCTCTTTTCACCCAGAAGCAAACTCGGAATCGGGAAGCCCTCATGGAAGAGTACACTTGGCAAGCCCTCCAGTTGCCCACCTGAGGTCATCCCCGAAACTGCATCTTGATGCAGGGTGTTTGCATGCGTTTCCATGCAGCCTGACTTTTTGGGGAATGTAGAGTCATGGGAGCGTTTGACACTGCTTGAGACCTCTTGTATCCGTGTCTTGCTGCTTCTTTGGTTCACTTGATTGAAGGCTACGGACACGTGTGCCAACGTAATGATTTTCACATCTCAACTCGAATCCGCATGTGCCACGCGCCCCGGCGCCGGCTTCGGCACCTCGGTTAGGCACCTGAAAACGACAGAAGGTGGCTCAGTTGTTTGTTGCCAACACAGCGCACACGGTAATTGGTTTAAGCCATCAACCTCGGTTTCACTTGTTGCCCTCCCGCCAATTTCCATGGAACCTGAGGGCCGTGGGGTCCTGGTTAGATCGATCACGTTCCTTTTAAAGGGACCCGGTCCCGAAGATCAGGTTCCACATGCGAAGGGGGGTATCAGTTGCCTTGCGGCCGGTCAGTTGACTCCCGCAGGCCTTCCGGAACATCGTGGGCCGCCTGCTGGAGGCCAAGGCTCGAGACTTGTGGCAGGCCCCGGAGGACGTGCTGCAGAGCGCCTTCCCCGAGGGAGTCGAAACGCTGGGAAAGGCGGAGGAAAGGCATTTGCTCGGGTTTTGTAGTGGATTTGACGTTTTATGTTTCTTGCAGATGCTTTGGACTTTTAGGTGAACACATATGGGGACTGAGGGGAACAAGAAGAGAGATAGATGCAGCACATGAACCAGGGGTTGAAGGTTTTTGGGTTCCTGAGGGTTGCACAAAAGTCTAGACACCTTGCCAAAGGAAGCTCTTTTGACAATAGCTTCCGAAAGTCAAGGCGGTAAGAGTCTTCAATTTTCACTCCAGGCGAGCATAATCAAGCAGACTCGGCAAGCACTGGTAGTTCAAGCGTAAGCTGCGTAAAGGCTACAAATTTGAACATGGTCACCAGGTTTGAGCCCCAAAACGGCCGGAGGACAAGAGGATTCAAAAGGGCGAGAGTCTTCTAAGAGCCTACCCGGGCTGTTTGCCTGATTCCCAAAGATGAGCCAGGGCAATCCGCTCTGTCACACTGCAACGGGATATGCCGCCATCAAGTTTGGACGATCGGATTTGGCGAGTGGTTGCAGACTTTTGCAAAGTAGTTACCCGGGGAAACCGAGAGGAGAGAAACAACTTGTAAACTGGGCAAGGGGTGTGTCATCGAACTATTCCTTGGCTTGAATGCTTTCTCGATTGTCTAGTCTTCTTGCTTTTCCATTGTGCTGCATTTTGCTACTTCACTGTATTTTGGAATTTCGCAACTCTAGGACACCCCAGCACGAATGATATGAAGTGTACGGCCGTTTGTTTGTGCTTACATGCGTATGTTTATATGCGGGAATATTACAATATATAAATATATATATATACACACGCTACACATACATCCCAACCCACCGACGACGCTCACTCGCGCGCCGCCTCACCTCGACGTGGATTGCCCGCGCGCCTCTGAGGGCTCAGCGAGATATACGAAGAGCTGGACGACGAGTTAGAGGGCGTGGCCTAACATTTGTCGTTGTCACACGCGGAAGCCACTTGGCGGTAAGGGCTGCGTGTACGTACAGCACTGTGTCCAAAAAGGGGAATTTGTTTTGTTCAATGTTGAAAATGCAATCGAGCCACAGATTCAATTCCAGGCATTTGCAATATTACAGAAGACACCAGAAAAAGGTGGCGATGCGTTCACACTCAGGCGAGATTGTGAGATGGGGGCTATGAGAATTGCCGAACCCTTTGCAAAGCCGAGCACAGCATTCGCGGCTTCGCGCCGCGGCTCGCCTACAGCAGAGGCCAGTTTTCACAGAGTGTCGCGCGGCCTGCGCAGTGGCTCAGTCACTCAATTCACACGATCTGCATTTGGAGCCCAATCCGATCAGTGGGAGCTGGTTCTGTGTTAAACGCACCGAAATGCGCCTGACTGCTGGAACTACAGGTTGCAGCATTGCAAGCCGTGCCGACCCTGCGCCAAACAGCAGGATCCTACACGCTGGGCCATGGCGGGGGAGACTGGCGTTTGATTGGCTGAGAAACACAGTTGGATCAGAGCGTGACCCTATTTGACTTGATGAGTAAGCTATTTGCTGAAGCACCTCAGATACCTCAAGTTTCCGATGTGTTCTCGTATTTGCAAGTCTGGCCTGTTTTTGGATGGCCGGTTGTGAGGAAATCGGTGCATGCGTCATGATTGGTAAATACTTGCCACTTCTCATGATTGCTAGATTCTACAATGAGTCGGCACAGAACAGTCCTCCCTTCCTCCATGATGCTGAGCAGAATTGTTTAAGCCAAGAACCCTCTCGGCTCCAGCTGCGCTTGTGGCGAATCCATGGAGATGTGGCGCCCTGTAGCAGGTACGCTTTCCAGCAGCATCCGGAAGTTGACCTGCGTTGTAGGTGCGAGAGCCAGGTCTTTCACTCTTCCAGGTGGGCAAAAGATGAAATGGCCGAGAGGACTCATTCTTGGTGTATCTCAAGCTGGGTGTTTATTTGCAAAATGGATAATGATCCAGTATTTGGCTACGGGAACCCCCCTCCCACACAAGACACCCGTTTGAAACGCGTGTCTCGTCTAGATCCTTATGCCAGCGGATTTGCCTTGCTCAGTGGCTGGGAGCCGGGGCTGGCAGACTGCGGACCAAAAGGGGGCCCCTGCTTCCTCGGCGGTCTGGTGCCTGCCACCTGTGAACTAGGTCGCCAAGGGACTCGATGTGCTGTCGGAGGCTACGTCCCAGAGGTCGGGCGCTATGAACTGAAAAGCGCGATTGAGGCGCTTGGCTTGACCTAATGTTGGCTCCGAATGTATAGCCTGATGTACTCTTCGTCCAGGGGCCCCAACATGTAAAAATCGGTGCATCTGCAAAAAATGTGCCGTGGCCCGAATACAAACTTTGTACAGGAACAGAACATCACCTTATTCAGTGTTCGCCCTGTGGAACAAGGCATGCCTGACCAGCAGCACACGAAGGGTCCCCACAAAGAAGGAACACCCGCCTTTTACCAACCCTGGGTCTACAACCATACATCTATAAATCCTGCGTTCCCATGATTTGAGGATTTCACTGAAAGTCAATCTGACACGGTAAGCCTTGGGATGAAGCGAACGGATTGCTCTTAAGGACAGCAGCCTCCAGACTTGTTGTTCAATAGCTGATTGTTGGGCTTCAAGATGGTTATTCATGTCTTGTTGAGGTTCAGCAAGCTTCTTTCGGTGGGCTGATGGTAGATTGCGACTGCTTGTGCGGTCTGCCAAGTCTTCACCCCTCGGTCTGAGACACCTCTCTTTCGGCACATGAGACAGGAGAAGAGAACCAGAGAGATGGACGATGCCGGGGCGCCCTGCAGCTGGTTGCCCCACGTTTTGGTTGAACATCAAGTTGGAGCCCTTCAAAGTGGAAAACTGCTTGTGGACAGGGTAGTTGATAGGCTGATGCGGTGTGTTTCGCGACAAGCCAGGTAAAAAAAGAGAGAAACACAAAAAACGGAAGATTCATTCCATTGCCTTTGTGGGCAGCACGTGTTGCGGGTCACCTCGCCAAGGCCATGGGCCACTTCACTGACAAGCTGGCGATGCTAAAAAGCAGGCGCTGCAAGTTTCAGCTCGACTCTGGGCTTGGGGGGCACCCTTTTTGGATGGTTTGAAAGGGAATCCAAAAAAGGCATATCAACGGAGTTGCCCATATTTTCAGTCATGGAAGGGCCGGGGGGTGGGGGCTTGGCAGCTCATCGGCGTTTGTGGCTAGGTCCGTGGTAAGTTGCAACTGAACAGGTCCGGTCGGTGAACTGGGAACGCCCTAGCAGCAGTTGTTGCTTGTTCAGTTTCTTTTTACATTGGGAAACGGGGGTCCTTGATTTGAGCCATGTCCATTGGGTGGATCAGGTGGTGGTGGCGCTTACTTGCCTGGCAGAAGCATGTAGACTTTGCTCCCTGGATGAAGGCAAGTCATAGGTGTCAAATCAGAATGGATTACTCATGGTTTGGGTTGGTTGCGCGCTTTCAATGAATCGGACCCTCGCTCCGGAGTCCGCGTAACTGAGCCACAGGATGGTGTTCAAGGTGAGCGAAGCGTCATGCTTGAGACCTTTTTTGATTTTGCCCAGACGGGTTTGGAGGTTTTTGCTGCTGGTTTTGTCTATTTGTGGACTTCCTGTTGCAGCCCCTGGCCGACGGGAATTTTCCCTTTGAAGCCTTCCCATAGGCCACCTTTGGGAATCTTCCTTTGGCGCTTGGCCTGCCTCTTTGCAACGTGGAAGTGGGCAGATGGTCCTATGATGGTCGTCCAGAACCTTTCGGTGCACCTCTCACTTTCCGAGTCTCCGGACCTTCCACTTTATGGCAACGCCCGTGAGCCTCCGGAAAGCTGGTGCCGCGTGATGTTTGTGGCTCAGTTGTTTGGGAACCCTCCTTCGGCAGAAGGAGGCTCCGCCAGGCAAAAGAAGGCGGCTTTGGAGGCGCCGACCTCAGCGCGTCGACATCTGGCCCCGTCTCAAGGAGCCTTGGAATGTGCAACTTGTTCCATAGGAAATTGGAAGGAAGTTGAAAAAGAAAACAAGGAGAAGGGGAATCCCCATTCTACATGTGTGCCTTGTACTGAAATGATGTGGGTCAAGCAGACGCGAATTTAGTTCATTTAATGGTGTTGATCATTGACCATTTTGGTATACAAGGCAACTCTTAGCATTCGGGGCAGCAATCTTCAGGCATATCACACGGGAGACGATCCCCTGCGGTTTGTTGCCGGCGGCGTCCTTCTGAAACATGTCTTTAAAACGAGTCCAACTAGTTATGCAATGTCGTCATGAACTCGGAGACACAGAACGTTTGCCTTTGGAGCCAATGGTCTCGATGACGCTGCGAGGAGAAAGCCCGTGTGTTTGTGTGTGTGTGCCTCATAGTGAGGGGATCAGAAGTGCGTATGCGTTTCCTGTTGGAAACCTTTGCTCGGAAGCAGACGAGGTCAGAAGCAGGGTGACCTTGGAAGCAGACCTGAACTTGCTCGAGAAGTTCTTGCCAGGGGCCTCAGTCAGCCTGCTCAAGAAAGCGTGGCGAGGGCATGGGACAGATGTTTGTTGAATTGGGTTTCCCTGCAAAAGGAACTGCAAAGGAACTTGCAGGGAAATGCCCCTGTGCCAATGGTCTGTCCCTCTGGGGAAATGATTCTGAGGCAGGGCCCGGCCCTGTCACCCGTGTTCGTTTGATATTCGGCAGGCTCCAGTTTCCAGCGTGCGACAGTCACAGGATGCAAAAAGGACAAGCGCGGCCCTGGGGATTGTTTTGGGCCCCTTGTAGACCCTGCCATTACCACACCAGCTTGTAGCCACGTAAACTTGAGGAGACAAGCCTGCTTCTCCACAATGGCAGCAAATGGAATCACCGGGAGTCGGGAGAGTGCGGTGCATGGACTGCGACCGAGGAATCACTGGAAAATCACCGCCAAGGCGAGGGCAACCCACCGCAAGTTGGAGAATTGTCGAGGTTCCCGCGTTGATTGTTTTCTTGTTTTTCTTTTGGGGGGGTCTGATCCTGTTTTGAGGGAAGCCAAAAAGGAGATCAGTCATGTTGGGAAGAACTTCTTACTTGCGGGCTTATGGTTTTCTCCTGGCGTTTTTTGAGAAAAGCAGAGCGCAAGGAGCATCCGTTGTTGCCACGTGTGCGTACATCCAGCAAAGCAACTCTGGTATCATTGATAGACAGAGACAGACGGTGATGTTGTTGGGAGCCAGGGCGCAAGTGTTTGTCTCAAAAAGCTATCAGGCTGAACATGTTATCAGGTTTGAATTAGCAAGGGAAAACCCGCCATGCCAGCACGCCACTAACAGGAATTGTTGATGAATGGCTCGAATGCTCAGTTTTGAGGTGGGTTGTGTCAGGCAGATGTTTGATTTGGCCATTTGCTTCTCCAACCAAGCGGGATTGATTTTGGGTGGAATGGATCCAGGAACAGACAAGTGAGGCAACAAGCCGTGTTTGGTATATTTGTCCAGAGATGTCGGCTGAAACAGATACGGGAGTCTTCAGGAAGTTAATCTTTCTGCCGGGAAAGCCACTGAACGCCTTTCCAGAGATGCTGCTATCACCCAAGCCTTTTATTCCATGAACCAGATCCCTGCAGTTGAACCCTTGAGCAGGGGTTTTCCCCCGAATGTTTGGGAAGCTAAGGAATCTGGCACCCCCTAAACAAGTCAGAATCTTCAGTCAGGAGTGGCAAAAACCCCTCCACCCAAACCGTGTACCTGACTCCACTCCTTCTACCCTCCCTCCAATCAACATTGAACCTGACAGTGGGGTCCCTTTAAAAGGAAAATGGGACCCCAAAACGTCAGGTTCCATGTGAAAAGGGTTGGAGGGTAAGTCGCCTCCCCCAAGTCCTTCCTTCGCCTTCACCGCTTTCCAGTCCGAGCGGCTGGAGCAGTTCTTCCGTCGGAAGCTGGACAGCAAGCGCAAGCAGGCGAGAAGGAATTGGCAGAGGACATGTCCGGCGAATGTTACGCCATGTTTAAAGGGAAGCAAAAAGGGGGGATCGATAGATTTGATCATCTTCCCATGTCATAGCTAATAAAGGGTTGGCCGAGCCCTCAGCTGTGCGGTAACCAGCCGGGAAAATCCTATGGAAACATGGAACTGTTAAGTGTGCGGCAAGTCTAGACACCCCATGTAACACCCAAAGAAAAGACATAGAGAGAACCAGGGGCAACGAGCCAACGGAAGCTACAACAGTTGGGTTATTCTGCAAAGCCATAACTAATGAAGAGTCAGTGATTTCTCTCTTGAATGTTCGACCAGATTAGGAATTACAATCCTGCTTGCAACCCACTCATAAGAAGGAGAAACTCCGCTTTCAACAGACCCGAATGGGTTTGTATACCAGGCGAAGTCTGGGATCAGACAGAAGTTGAAAGTAGAGGGACCGGCCACATTCATGTGTAAAATCTCTAATAACAGGGTGCCAATATGGCAATTTGTTCGACCAGAGGCGGAAAAATGTAGACCCCGGCACCGGCACCCGGGGACCGAGCAGAGCGGCAAGGTGTCGGGCGTGCAGACCTTGCCCGGGCCACAAGGTGCAAGCTTCACCGGCGGCTACTGGGGGCCCCAAGCCTTGCAATCACTCCTGTTGAATGGAATCTGAAAAGCCCTCATGCGCGAAGGGATTGAACCCGATTCCATGTCTGACTTTGCAGGGAGTAACTGGTAGGGGGTTCACCAAGCTAGGCTTGTCAATACATGACATAAATCTTGGCTGTGGTTGCGGCGCGATTCGGTTATGCATATAGGAACTAAGGTTGCAACTCCGGTTCCCCGCGGAAGGCAACAGGGGCCACTGCTTGTTCAAACCTATGTTGCCCCACCCTGTAAATAATCCCTGGAGGAGTGTAATGGGGAGGTTCCTTGTGCCGGTGTTTGCAGCTGCCAGTTTCCGTGGGCCACTATTTTCAGAAACACTCACATATTGGTCATTGCTCCAGACGCCCCACTTACCATCTAGGTCAGGTGATTCGCCATGTTTTCCACTTGTTTGCAGATGGATGCGCTAGCAACCATAGGCTGGACAAGTTGCAGGTTACTTTCTCGCGAACACGGGCCTTCTGGCCAGGTTGAGTCCTTCTTTAAAGATGTGTGAGTTTCATCTGCTATTAGACTCCCCTGTTCTTCTCTCTCTGGTTCTTTAGCGATTCCAAAAGACTTGTTGTCAGTTTGCTTTCACTAGTTGCACCTCCGATTGGCAGCTTCATTTCTTAACATTGGGACGGCTCTTTGTCATGGAGGAGGTTCTTGCTCTGATTTGCTCGTGATGTGACGTTCTTCATTGACTGCCCAAGTCTTGTTTAGCTCCGCAAGAGTCAAATCTCGGCGCGAATGTACGGCGGTGCAGTGCTTCGTCTTCAGCACCAGATTTGTCTTGGACACTCACTGAGTCGCCGAGTCAACCAAGGTTGCCTCGCGCATTGTGTCGTTAATATAGGAACGCTGATGCTATTTGTGTCTCTTGGGGTCCAGTTTCAGGTATTCGCTTGAAAGACTGAAGCCAGGATCGTGCCCTTTTGAGCTCGTGAACCAGCCCTGGGTTGTCATTGCTTTGGGAAAAGAAGGGGTCGACCCTGGTCAGGGTCTCGATCCACATTTTTCAGGCGACATGGCTTGTATAAATCCTTTTGTGTTCACAACGAGGCTGGCTGGCCTAACTTTGCGATTCCTCTGACTTCGTTGAAGTTCAAAATCTCCCTGAGAAGTTGGGCATGTCTCAAGTTTTTTTGGCAGGCCCCCTTTTCTTCACAATCGGGGGGGTTAGTGGGGGCTGGGATTCTATGACAATGGTGGCCTCAAATGTTTTTTGTTCCTTGCTATGCCTTACGCTTAGGTTCCAAACCTTTGCACAGCAGATCGAAGCAAACCTGGACGAAGAGGACGACGAAGAGATTGCGCCAGGCGCTTGGAGCGCTTGCCATGCGGCCATACTCACGCAAGTGCTTTGTTGGGCGTATTTGACATCAGGATGCCAATGAAGTGGGTGTGGCTCAAAATTAAACATGAGGGGTTACGCAGGTTTTGGTCCATGTGTCCACTTGCCAGGGTTCCATTTTGGTACCGGTTGTTTGAGCCACTGCCAAGTGCTCTCAGCAGAATTTGGGACAACCATGAATCTAGGACTTGACACGGTGGGAGGAATGTTGGGAGGAATGTTGGTCTCTAAATCACTGCTAGATGATAAATTTTAATAAAGCCGCTGCACAGCCTTAGAAGGACCATTCCGGCACCTAGCATGTTCTGGACATTAGCAAAACAAAAGGGCTTTGTACATGCCCCGACCTTGGGAAGCCCGCTTTGCTCCTTTTCTATGACGCCAAGCTGGGTCCGGGGTTGGGGCGTGGCCTCTTGCAAGCTTATTCCATGTGCAGAAACCGGTGCGTTTGCTGCTTATCAACTTAAGAAATGAGTCTGGCAGGTTTCAGATGATTTTGGCGAACGCACCCATTAAGCATGTCAGATACATTTGCGTGGCATGCAAATCTTCTTTTGTGTGCGACTTAGGCCAGAGAGAAGGCGGAAGAAGCATCACAGACAAGGAACAGGTGCGGGGTATTATGGGCGTCCAAATGCTACCCATCCTCTAGCTATGTTATGGAGGCTTTTGGCCTAGGGTTTGCTTCCCCATTCTTTTCAACCATCCTTCGTTTAAAAAAAGGAAAAAACTGTTCCCCTGGGTGTTTGATGGTTTCCTGAAAAGAAGGATCCCTAGAAAGAATGGGAAGCTTCCCCTAGATTTGGGGCCTTTTAGAAGACTACAGTCACATAAGTCCCCGAGCTTATGATTTGGATGGCATGTCGCGGTTGGACAGGCCTCCGGTGATCAGATTTGCAGCAGTGCACAACAATATTTGGCAACCCCGTTCCCAGGGCTTATCACATGGAGGTGTCAAACATTTGGCTCCCTTTCTGGATCCTGTTTGCCAGGGGAGCAATCCATGACGCGGGGCGGCAACTCCATGTCCCTGCAGCGCGCTTGGAGCAATTGCCAAGATGAGCTGTCATCCTACAAGCCGGTTGTTTGCTCATTCTGAGCTGCTCATCACCTCGTTATTGGTCTCAGCACGATGCGCCGATCATGATTATGTGGTGCATTGCTCTCCGTTGTCTTTTGTTAGCATCATTGTTGTAACGATTTGTTTGATAGGTTATTATTGTTTTGGATGCGCCGTATCTCTGTTGTCAAATGTGTATTACTTTATGCATGTACTGTTCTTACACTTCCTTGAGATGCAATGTGTTTACTCGTCGTTACGAGTATTATTTAGCTACATTATGTTGGCCTGATTAACTATGGGCATTCTCCGTTTAGTACGTTTTCTTACTGTTGTTCTGTGTGCGTCTTATGATGGCATGTGAGTGTTCCAAAGGTGCGCACAGGGAAGCCCAAAAGGCACGAACCTTGCCATTTGGGCTGAATATTTCAGGAAACGGCTTCGATCGCAACCCGCTCCGCCAGCTTAGGCCGGACATCCATCGGAAGCCCAGCTAGGCATCGCAGAGTTTCACCCAAGTTTCTGGGCGAATCCAGCCAATCCTAAGGTTAGGCCATGGCCAAGCAAGGAGAATGATGTGGCCTCTAGGCAAAGAACTTGAACCATGGGCACAGCGGTCTGAGCTTTTGGAAGAATTGCCTTTTCCACCTAATAACGAAACAATATGTGCTTTGGGGCTGGATTTTACAGAGTTGTCGAAAAGAGCACAACGAGAACTGTTTCATTCATATTCACTTGTATCTCCGCATAACATCAGGGCCATAAATTGGGAATGCTGGTTGCAACCCTCAATATTCAGGGCATAGATATATGTTGCAGAATAGTTCACTCGTGGTGTCATCATTCCCTGGGGTCACAAAGTCGTGAGATGGCGCTCGGATTCACCTGCCGGTCGGCGAATCTGCCTCAGGCGTTGGTGATGCTAGTCGACTCTGCGAATCATTGACTTCTAGTTTCAGCTTTGACTGTATCCACTACCTTGCTGGACGGTTAACTTGCTGCTGACCATACTTCTCGATACCGCCAAACATCGAAGTCTGCAAAGAAAGACTGGTTGTGTCCAGTCAGTCATTTCGCGATAGCACTCAAAAGTACAAGCACTAGGCTGTTACGCATGAGCCGGTCAACAATCTGCAACGCCGGGAGCCACTGAGAGCTGTGACGAATCTGCCCGCGGCTTCAGAAAGGCAGTTGCGTCTCTTGATGTCTGTCCCTTTCATTATGGTTGGTAGCCCTGGTTTGTTGGGATTCCCCGTCACTTTGTGATCCTGGCACCTGGTTTTGAGCCACCAGAGAGTTTTTACGTGGCCCCCCCCCCACAAAGAAAGATGGGCATGGACAGGCTCCCTTGCCATTTGGTGTTGTCTTCCACGATTGCTCTTTGGAGTGAGAGGTGTACGCACCCTTACCTGCCTTACCACCCCTTACCAAGCGCCCTCGTGCTGTTTGAGTTCCAGCGACCAGGCAAGCCGTTGCTGAAGCCCTTCGAGTTGCGTGAGAAGGGTGGTGGCTGGAAATCAGGCATGCCGGGATCAAGGAAAGCACGCGACACCTGACACTGTTGACCGCGGCATACCTGGATGTGCAATATTCCTCCAAAACTCGACATACAACGTACAGAGCAACAACGACCAATTGGTAGGAAGCTCTCATTTTGGGATAACGCTTTTTGGGGTTCCCTTTGTGAAAATGTTTGCTGGCGAAACTACGAGGAAGAGCTTTCAGCTCCCAACGCAAAGCTGGTGAAGGCTTCCGAAGCTGCTTGCGTCGCAGGTTTTCGGGCCAAAAGCAAATGCCACACATAGCAGCACGCGCATCCTTTTATCAAACCATTCCAGCGTGTTCCATCAGGCCATGGAAAGAAAAACGAAGTCCTTCCAACTTTCCATCTGTGAGATCAGCTCGAGGAATTCGCAGGACGCAGAACGCGGCTTCCAACTCGCGAAAGCGGTTTCGCCCCGGTTTTGCCCGTGCCGCGCGAAAGCGCGCGCGGAACACCGCCAAAGAGCGTCTTGTCGTGATGGCCTGACACTGGGCAGCACAGCGCGGTGTTCCAATCCTGGGTTGTGTTGTGCCCATTGATATGCTGGCTTACCTGTTGTATGATCGTTGTTCTTTGAAGTTAGTGTTATATATTATGTGCTTGATTGGGTGTTGATCGTCATGTAGGTTGAGGACATCTTTGTAAGTCTTCCAGTCTTTGCCAGACGTATTGACTCGCGGGTTGTCAGACTTAGCTTGATTTGTTTAACTTGTTGCCCCTTTGTTGTGTTCTGTTCTTTTCTGTTTTCAACTAGTTGCGCTTTTTTGCTTGTGTGATGCATATGCTGCCGCATTCGGGCAGATTCAACTGTGGAACTTTGTGTCTGTGAAGTGTGAATTGAACAGCCAGTAGACACCTGCACAAGCCACGCCCGAAAAGGCCCCTCCCAAACCGTACAAACATGTTTTGGCCTCATGTCGGTGAAAGGCAACTCATGATGCCCAAACTGTTTGGCGGGACCTTTGGACGGCGGCGCGACCGAATGGCCGAGGCGCGACAAGTACCTGCCTTCAGTCTGTTCAGCACAAGATCAACAAACAAGTGTTTGGCCCGCTCTTGTGCTCCCGTCTAAGGTGGTCGTGTCTCATTATGAAGAAGCTTAGCCGTGCAACACGTGGTCGGAGTTAATTATGTTGGGTGTTGCAGTTCTATTGGATGTAAGATATTGGCTGTCGGTTTAACGTGGGTAGTTGTGAAGCATCTGAGGTGCGCTATGAGCGGGCATGTTGCCGTGCAAGAGCGCCAAGCATGGCGCGGGTGCCCAGAGAAGGTACCTGTCATCGACGTCCTTAGATTAATTTTATGCTGATTCGTGCAACAGTGGAGGATCCCAGTCCCTGTTCATCAATCAGGCTTTTGCTAATCCTGGGTTACAAGTTTCTTCAGAGCCAATGGCACACTTCCCATTTCACAGATGCCTTTTACGCCCACCCTCAGGTCTTTGCAGAAATCGGGCCGCCTGAGGAACGAAACTATATCTAAAGGCACAGCTACCCGTCAAAACCATTGAGCCGCGATAGAGGGATGATTCATTGGAAATGAAGTTGGATGGTTCGAGCTGATGGCGCCTTCTTGGTGCATGTTTTCACATTGCTCGACGCTTTGGCAACGGATTTGTCAAGCGTTCCCTTTGTCAAAGCCCCCAACAGAGGGAGCCATTTTGCTCAAGGTGGGCTTATAGCAAATCCGGGGGGTTCCTCTGTTGGGGACATTAGCCACCCCTGGATTTTGCAAGCTACTTGTGGTTTCTTCATGGCTGTAAAAATCAGGTGTTCCTCCGTGCCCGCTTTGGGCGGCAACGCTCATAAATTGTTTCTATGCCAGGCGTATTTTGACATTAAAGAGGAAAAGTTCAAGAGTAGATGACATGTAAAAGTGTGAATGACCATTTTACAAACTAAATCTACAGTTTCAACTAGTTGCGTGGCCTCCCCCTAAATCTAAGAAACAACTACATGCGGCCAGCAATGCTTGTGATCGGCTGGTCGCCGCAAATGCCCAAGCAATCCCAAAAAGAAGAACTAGAGGAGCAAGCCTACTCGCATGGCACAGGTGCTAATTCACTCGTTGATCATTCCTCCATTTTTCTGGCCGTTCAACCGCTTTTTTTTTGGTGTGTCCGGGCCACCCTCCAAGGCCTCATCTTCATCACCCTGGGTGCAGCAGCCACGCCCGGACCTCGCTTGGATTGGCACTGATAATTTGGCCAATGAGTACCCTCTCTCCATGGCACCTGGGAGGTCGTTTGAAGAAATGGTCTGGTCTCCAGTGAGTTGGAAGGGTGGTTACAACGGGTTAGCGAAGGACGGCTTAGGAGCCCATCTAGGCCCATGACTTGCTCAGTCGCCCTGTGGAGGAGTTGGCTGTCTGGGCGACCTTGAATTGTTGAGTTCAGCCTCCAGGTTGCATGGTTGAAAAGCACATTCTCCCTATTTCTTGTGGGAAGTGCCTCACATGGAGCACAGGCGTGGCGCTTATGGCGCCTTCAAGCAAGGAACCATCCATGTCATCGGCGAGGAGCCAATTTCTGAAAGCACCAAGTCCGCCGTCGGTGTGTTCCATGAAGCAACGCTCTGTCTGGCTACGTTAAATACATTAAGCAAAGGATCGAATCCCCTCCCTCGAGGTTGCTGGGCTTCTTCTTCGTCGATGCTGCAGCGCTCTCAGCTTCCAGAGTGTATCAAACTGACATATGCGCCTGTGATTTGCAATTGTGTTTGGATGAGGCTGTTGGTGAATTGACTACATGTTTCAAGCTGACTCTGCATACTTGGGTGTGTTTTGTATGCGTGTCCCTGCACTAGTTGGCCTTGTTGCCTGCAACCTGCAGCTTTGTCTTTTTGTAAGATTGCGAACACCTTTGACTATTTGGCTTAACTCAACAGCATCCAAATGCCCACTTAATGCCAACTCTGCCAATTCGGATTAATCTGAACGGTCACCCTGAAATGGACAATTCTCCACAAGAAGCGGAATAAGGCTGGTTCTGGTAACATGATCATGGATCCCAATTTAAGCTGGCTTGTGCCGCGCTGCGTATCAGCAATGGCAGCAATGGCTGCATAGACCTCTATGTCAATGTGATGCCTCACCATGCCGGACTGTTAGTGCAGCTGGACAGCCTGTACTGCGCCGATTGCACCAGTCATGGTGAATTGTATGTTCCTTAGTTAAACTCACAGCCCCGCCCCCCCCCCCCAATTCGAAGAGAGTCCAGAGAAAACACATAAGTTTGCAGGAAACCGACTTGTTCCTGGACGTTGGGCTCATAATTCAACACCTCAATCGCTAGGTCCCTGCACGCCCTCAATGAGCCCCACTTGCGCCAGGCCACTCGATCGCCGGCGCCCTGGGTAAAGAGCGGAAAGTTCTTGCGTGCTGTGAACCGGTGGGGAAAGCCGGTCCATCGTTAGGTGGCTTCAAAGAACAACTGTAGTCCCTGTATTAGCCCGTATTGCTCGAGCCAGTTCCCCTTGGGCTGGGTGGTCTTCGAGTGGGGAGATGTAACGATTCCCGTGGGTGGGCACAAGTGCAAACCTGGTGGCTCCAAGTCCAGAAGCAACTCATGCTCATGCGGTTCAATATGACACTAGCGGGGAGAGGAGAGAGGGCCCCGGCATGAGTTTCTGTCGAGTGGGTTGGGGTTTTGCATGCGACTGCAGATAATGCAGTGGCCTCCTTCTTGAGAACTTATGAAGATTAAAATTTGTCTAGGGAACATAGCCAGGATTGCCGGACGACCCTTTGATCTCACAAGTCAATCGATACCAGCGACGTGCAGCGTGGAGGTCAAGTCGCGTTGCTGTTGCCTGGATTGACACCACGAGTTGGAAGTTGCTGTCCGAACATACCTGCCAAAATCCCGGACCCAATGCTACGAGTCCCACAACCGCATCAACGCTGTCAGTAAATCTAGGCCATATGTTTGCAAGTCCCTGTTCTGTTTGTTCGTGCGGAATGGTCGAACACAAAAGCAGGCATCTTACACGAGGTACGCCTGCGTAGATCCAAAGAGTTGACCGGCCAGAGGTTGCCTTTGAACCGCGTTGCAGTGTTCAAACAAGAAAGCTTTGTATTCGACCAAGTTCAGGTGAACAACAACAAAGACCGGCGCAGATCCGTTTTGTAACATATTGTTTGGTTGTCACGTTACCATGCAACTCTCACACCCAAATGTGGTGACTTCCTGAAAGTGGTGGATTTCCTTGAGGTGTTCCCTGTCAGGACTCAGAGCGCCACGGGGCTTCGCGGAGGCGACCGGGCTGTGCCCGGAGCCCAGGATCCGCAGGAAAATCGGGGCTCCAGTGCTGGGTCGGGTCGGGTGAACCTTTGCCGGAAGTTCCACGTCTTTGACTAGTTTTTTAGTTATATTTGATTTGATCATTGGTTTTGTTCCCTATCTGTTTGGCTGTTTGGTTGGACCGTCATTTGTTTCGGGAGGACCTTTGGCCTTGTTTTGTTGCTTCCGTATTTTTGTTGGGGTTATTTGGTTGGATCTCTCTTGTTTTGCGTGTGTTTGGACCATGTGTTTGGGGAGGGTTGCTTTATGCAGGGGGACTTCGTATGTTTACCCAGTCACAACAAGAAGCTGAAGTCCTTCAACCCTGAGCTGGCTGGCTGGGCCTCCCATTCCCCTTGCCAATTCGAATACCTTCGCCCACAAGCACGGAGCTCCCTCCCATTCGAAGGGAGCTCGATACTTGGTGGCTCCCAGCCGTCCGGTTCCCTAGGTTTTTAGCTTTTTAGTTGGTTGAGTGGTTGGGTGTCAGTATTTAACCCACCAAAAGTTGTCAACTTTCAGCAGGGGCTCGGTTTGGACAGCCCGGCAATGATTCATGCTGTTATTCATGACAAAGGAAGTAGGCAGGGAGCTGTAACTGGCATCCGTGAAGACATGGTATGAGCATCTTAAAAGAGGCAACCAGACTTGTACGTGGTACTGATATTTGCTGACAACATGGGCTGGCAGGGGAGGATCAGCCGCTTGCTTCCCTGCAAGCAAGCTGAACTGACGACGCAAGCGCCTGTCAAGTGTTGCCCTAGTCCGCTATTTGTGTGCGTGTTTTGCGTGTCGCCAAGGTCTGGTGTGGCATGGTGCCGGCAGTTGAGCAAAGTGGACTGCATAGTTACAGCCAAATGGACTTCCAATTGAGTCAAAGATTCCAGACTCAATTGCCAAGTGGGTAGCATGCTTTGGGAAACCGCTTGAAACCGCTCGAGACCATGTGCTTCATGGAAGATGTGATGTGTACCAAAGCTTTTTTCAAGCATGGTCAAGAATCAGTTCGGTATTTGCATCCATCACAAGATTTAGAACTCGCATGTTTGACTTTGGGAACTGACTTCACATTTTGAGTATGCCGTCTCAAAGGGGCTAATCGGGGTTGCAGCCAGAGTTAGCACTTTCAGGCAGCCGCGATCTAGTGTCCTCAGGTACCCAGATTGGGACCTATGTGTGGTTTGCAATTACGTATATACAAATACATACCTTAGTATAGTATCATATCAAAAAAACAAAAAAACGCCATGTCAAAAAGAACAACTTGGATCTGAGCAGGTAAGAAGCACATCAAGCTGCTCTCCACTTCCCCCCCGTAGGGCCCCCCTGAAGCTCGCACCAACTCGAGCGAGCTTTGCAAAGGCTGGAGCTGGTGCTCGAGAGGTACAAAGTCCTGGCCAGGTGCGATGGATGGAATCTGAGCAGAGCCTTCGTTGAGTCGGCTAGCCTGTGGGTGGGTGGGTGGTGGTGGGTGGGTGGGTGGTGGTGGATGGGTGGTGGGCCCCAAGATAGCAGGTTTGCACCAAAGAAGGCGTTTCTCGGATTTAAAATGCCGCGAAGCCTGGGGCGAATGCTGTTTGTCAAGCTTGCGGAGGCTCGCCCATGCTTTTTAGTAGCTAAAATGGGCCCACGGGCTTGACATGAAGTGACTCTCTCGAATTAGCTTTGAAATGGGTGGTGAACACAAAATCATATTGTTCTAGAACAGCCAAGATTCCACTTGCAAGGACACCATGGTATGGGCATCTTTGGGTGCCTTGGAAAGGTACGGGACTGCACATTGTTGGAAGGGGGTGGCAGCCGAACTGTGCGCCACAGCCAATGAGAGGGTATTCCAGTGCAGGGCGAGGGCAAGGGATGAGGCCGCCTCTCAGATTGGGGCAATGCAGAGGCAAGTTTGCCAATTGCCCTACTGGAAGCGAAAGTCCAAGAGAGTAAACAGGGCCAGTGTCGCTTGTTTTGTAGTGAATGTCTCGACTCTCCCCCGTTAGCGCCCGAAATCGTCTTTTTCACCAACAGCTTAAAGCTTTCAGCCATGAGGTAAGGTTCCACGAGGGTTCCACCAGGGTTCCACCAGGGTTCCACGAGGTTCTGCGAGGGCTGTGGGGTGATGCGAGCACTAAAAAGAGCACCGCATGCTGTTGGGGATATCACCAGAGCTTATTTTCCAAATAAAATCGAGCAGTGGAACTGCCAGGAATGTGACGATGCGCGTAGAGGCGGCGGAGCGTGGGCCCCCAGATTCCGATTTCGGAAGCCAAAACCGGACAAATGGGCCGAAGTTGCGGTGGATGCGCTTTCCCTTGGTAGGCACAGAAAGAATAATATATGTAAGCATGGGGCCGGGATTTGATCTACAATTAGGGTGCGGATGGGCCAAAGTTGGAGAGGACATGTTGTTTGTGTTTGCCTTCGGCCGGCACACACACACACACCAGTGTGGACACGTGTGCCCTCGCGTTTGCGTTTGGCACGGGTTGTGGCAGCAAGTTGGTCCAGTTGGGGATCCAAGGTGCCATATTCTTCAAGTGGTGTCTCAGCTGCCATTCTCAAACGTATCAAACAAAAGATCAAATAGTAGCCCAAAGCAGGCCAACAGTTGCGAGTTCCGTTGTGTTGAATCTACTTTTGGTACAAATGGACAGCTGTCACCAAAATTGCGTGCTGCCTGTAGACAGGGTTGGGACGAGAAACGAGCACCGCAAACTCAGCTTGTTGACCCCATACTACATGAGGAAATGGAGGAGTTCCCTCAAGGAGGGTTCGCAGGTTAACTCGAGCAAGCATGTGTGTGTGTGTGTGAGTGTGTGAGACTTGTTGAAAAGAGTATGCCTTGAGAAACAATCTGGAGGGGTATGCTGGTTGCTTTGATTCTTCAGGATTCGAGTGCTGCTCCACACGCAAAGGACTGTGCAAAGAACTAGACAAGTTTACCCAGGTTGGGTAGTTGCTTGCTCGCTTGCTTGATTTGCCCTTTTTTGCAACGTCACTGTAATGTCCTGCCCTGTCTGAAAGCCAAGGGGCTGGTGGAGTCCGCTTGTCACATGAGGAGCCTATGTCCTTTATCGCTACCCCCTCTTTCTTCTGGGGGTCCCTCCAATTGGTCCAAGCCACAACGACCGCAAGCCTCGAGGCGCGCCGTCATGGAGCTACGCCGCAGCCGGACCTCAGAGGTGGCCCCGGCCCAGCCGGACTCGCCGCAGGCCGCTGGGCTAGGTAGGGGGGGTGGCGGGTCAGTCGGATGTCTTGTAAGGCTTGCGGGGCTACGGGGGGCTGTTCAAAAACAAAGGTTCATACAGTAGGTGTGCTGTAGCGCAAAGAGATGTCAGTGAACTGGGTCCCACTTAGCCTTCAATGAAACAACCAAATAGCACCTGCACCATGCCTCGCCCAAGGCTTGCAACCACAAGAACCCTAAGGTGAGCAACCTAACGGCTTCAAGTATGTTCCGGAGGAGAGACCTTTGAGTATTTGTGGGTAGCTTCATCCGGTTGCGCCACAAAGCGTAGGGCGTTGTTTTGTGACATGGTTTCCTCATTGCGCGCGTGTTCTAAAATTGGTTTGGCTGGTAAGGTTCCCTTTGTTCTCCTTTTTGAACATCGACAAAACAGGGGTCACCGATCGGTACAGACTGGCATTTTTCACAGGTTTGGGGGTCATTCGGTTGAGTCGCTGCATGTTGCAAGTGAACCAACAACAAAACATACACAGTTACAGGAATCCCCCTCATTCCCAGGAACTTTGTTTCAGGTGTTTAAAGTTACCCCCCCCTCCAAACGATATTTTGAGTGTGGCCTGGGTGCTCAAATTCAATGCGAGAAACGGGAACATGGGGGCATTAGGTACCTGCTCCTGAGCCACCGGCCCCCGCTAGGGAGCTCACCAGGGATACGCCATTCCATGCTTGCCACAAGATGTCCGGTTCTCAAACGCTGGGCCGGGACCATGTGGCACCTTTGGAACGGGGTCCAAAGCTTTCATGACCTCCCAAATGAAGCTGGCCGAAGTGCAACCCTGAGGAAGCCAAGCCGGAAGTGAAGGAGGAGAAGGAGGAGAGCAAGGAGGATACAAAGGGCGCAGAAGGAGGCAGCGGAGCTTGGGGTCTGTCTGGAGAGGGGATCGAGTTCAATTACCAGTCCTTTGCAGAGCAAATTGCAGGTCCCAAGCGGACATTGTAGCCCTTGCACGTTTCGAAAGTTTTGCCATTCCAAAAGGTCCCAAGTGGCTCTCCTATTGGCATCGACTTCCGAGCATGGGTTTAATTATTCAGAGGCCAGGGGTGCCACGTTTCAGGGAGTGAGTCCGAGCTGAGCTGCAGTGCCCGAAGTTTTCGCGCCAGGATCCGAAGGCGCGGGTGCAGAAGGTGACGCCGCCACGGATCCGCCCTTCCAATTCCCAGACTTGGAGGATCCCGAGGAGTCGGGGCCCATGCGGACGGGTGGTGGGAAATGAACGAAACTCATACGCCGAGTACGGCAAATGAAACATGGGGAGCACTAAGATTCGTGTTTTTTTTTTTTTTTTTGCGATACTGTAAGAATATGCTTGGAAGCGATAAAGGGGACGGATATCCCAGTTTGGTATCATGGAAACAGCGAACTTTCACAACCATGGGTCAGAAAGTTTTGTCACACGCCATGGTTTGCTCAGCACTTGAATGCACAAAACGAGCCGGCCTTTCAGATTGTAGGTCTTGGTGACTTCTGGGGCGTGGTCTACACTACAAGAGGGAGTCCCAAGCTATTTTCTCAGTACCGTGGTTGGCAAAGGACCTTCAAGTGTTCGATACTGGAAATGCAGACAGGCTTGCAGATGCTTGCACTTAAGGACCGAAGAGGAGAGGGCGAAGCGGCAAGAGGCCACGGGAACGTTTGCCAGTGCGTGTTGCAGACAGGCCGCTTACGTGCTTCGATGTGTGCGAATGAGTTTGGAATCATTGCAAGCTACTAACTTGACTGAGTACAAGCTATCCCCCCAACCATTTTGGAAGCCTATAGAGGGCGGAATGAAAAGTGAGGTAGTCTTCTACAATCGTCCAAGGCCTTTCCGGCAGAGCAGCACGCGGCAAGTTCGGTTGCTCGTTGCTATGGAGGGCCCGCTTCTTTTGGTCCAGTTGGGTTCTCGCCGAAGAGCCAAAAGGAGTTCCAGTGGCTGCTGGGAAGCTAAGAACCATTGCCTTTGTGCTTCATGCTTGATGATCCTGTGCACTTGAGGCTCCAAGTCAGCATTCCTTGCAGCAAACCTTTGATGGCATCAACCATTTCTTCGAGCGCCCTCTGAATCTGGCACCTCAACAGGGCCTGTTTCTATCCTGAGTGCAGGTTGCGACCGCCCCTGAGAACAAGCCACAAAGCACAGGAAGCCATGTCATTCGTTTGGCAGCGGATGGAGCTGTTGCCCCGCTCGCCGCATGTACTCTTACCCTTACCCAGTGTGTCTCCAAGGTGTGCTTGCCACGCATGCCCAGACTTGCGAAGGTCTAATTTGGCTTCACCGGTTGGAAATCGAATGTCACAGTTCAGGCCTTCAAGCCGTGGGTTTTAACCTGCGCTAGATGGAATCACTGGTTCCCCCTTCACTTGGGTCCCTGGCAATTGCTTTGATTGATTCGCTGTGGTTGAAACACGTCTCCCTGTGTAAAGAGGGTGTCTGCAGAGTCACTGGGTCCCTCGGGAAGTCAGCTGCCACGTTCGCTTCGCACGAGGCTGAGGAGCAGCTGCAGAATTCCTTGATCCTCTACAACAAGACAACCGGCGTGTGCGGGGCCTTGGCTCGGAAACGCGGGAAACGCGGGAGGTGACGCTCAAGACTGGCAACATGTGAGGGGGGGTCGGTTCGATAGAGGTTGCCCCCTATACCATAGGAGACTTGCTTTGGCGGAGGCTCTTGACACGCCTCACCTGATTAAGTGATAACCCCTTGGTTGATGTTTTGGTTTTGTGTCAGGTTCATGAACATGTATGTCAGAGCGTTAGATGTTCAGTGCCTTTCAGTCCAGTGTTATACTAGTTGTCGTGTCTTCGGGGAGTTTCTGCTGATGACCCCCAACACAGAGATCCCATATGTCCTCTTTGAGCATCACCCCAAGAAAAGAAAACTCATCTAAAAGTGGCCCCTTCTGGTGATGCTTATGGCTACCTTGTTGGCCATCCAACTCAGCTTGTGCCAGTTACCGCCGTTGGCGCGGGGACTTCAAGTGCGCCAATCGCGTGCCGCCACTGCCGGATGGGGAGGCGAGCCGAGCCTTTCGTGTTTGACGACTCACCGATCGATCGGGTGAGGGCAAGCTGAAAGGTTGACACAGGGGGCGTCTCTTCGTGACACTGACACATCTACGTGTCGCATGTGCTTATTGTCTTTTCGAGGCAAAGGGTAAGTCCCATGCCAGGCGCTTTTGATTCTTTGTTGCAGGCGCAACTGATATATTCCAGCCCCACGGCCAATGTCCAGTGGGGTCCCTCGAGGCGGGGTAGTATTGTCATTGAAGGGAAACCGGGACCGGCACTCAAGTAGCAAATGATGCAATCTGGACTTTTGACGGCGCAATTTCGTGGCAACCCAGTCTGGCGGAGAGCTGAACCGCAAGGAATGGTCAACCAATTTTGTGAAGTGTGGAATGGACGTCAAAGTCTCCCAGAAGTCATGGAGATTTACCGCCACTTTCCATTTTTGGGCACTGTTTTCAGAGCAGGTTGTGGAAGGAACTCCCACAGCACAGGGTTGCTGCACCATGACTTCAAATGAAACCCTGAGGAACATGTGCTTTGCGCTCCATACCCGTGACTTTTGGCCCAGCGAGAGTGCCATGGCGCGATTGCTGCAGCGAGTCGCCCACTGCGACGCCCTGGCCCGACCCTCAGCGGAAGGGAGATGCTGAAATGCTCGCGTCCGGCTCGGTTGATATGATTGCTGCCCGTTGATGAATGATCCCCCAGTGCTGCTATACAAGGGTGTTGTTTGGAATACTATCCCCACATATCCCCACATATCGCTGCCCTTTCTGATATCTGCATGATGTGGTGGTGCTGGTGCTGGTGCTGGTGCTGGTGCTGGTGCTGGTGCTGGTGCTGGTGCTGGTGCTGGTGCTGGTGCTGGTGCTGGTGCTGGTGCTGGTGCTGGTGCTGGTGCTGGTGCTGGTGCTGGTGCTGCTGGTGCTGCTGCTGGTGCTGCTGCTGCTGCTGCTGCTGCTGCTGCTGCTGCTGCTGCTGCTGGTGCTGCTGCTGGTGCTGGTGGTGGTGGTGGTGGTGGTGGTGGTGGTGGTGGTGGTGGTGGTGGTGGTGGTGTCTTTAATCAGGAGTCAACTTGGGTGTTTCACACAGGTGTGAATTGACTGGGGAATGGCCAAGAGGTAACTAGGGACTGACCACTTCATGAGACCATGATTTGCATTCTCCAGGTGCGTTCAGCCACCCGAAAAGATGGTCGCGCAAGGTCGCCGGTTGTGCCCATTTTTACATTGACCTTGGCCAGCTACCCACCTTTTGTTTTCCCGAATAGGGACATCATTGAGCTGGCTGGTTTCCTTAACCATCAGGATTTGCCAAGGAAGCCCTATGCCAAGACATCCATGAGTTTCTCCTATTTGCCACGTGTGATGTTCATGACTGGTACTATCCATATACTGGTGGTTGTAGCGTGCGCACGAGGATGCGGCGAGCGCGGCGGAGAGCTTGCTGAGCATCCAGGTGGCCCTGCTCAGCGGGCGCTGCGCCGCACTGCAGGCGGTGGGTGGCCTTTCTTTGTGTTTGTTTTTAGTTTGGCCATTTTGGGAGGAAAGTGGCAAGCAACGAGTGGTTGAAATTTCAAATGAAATACGGAGCCCTTTCTATTTCTTTCTATCTGGTGTGTCGGTTTCCCGTGAAAACCAGCAATGGAAACAGCTGGCAGAGTGAAGGGTGTTCTTCAAGGCGAAACCAACATGAAGTGGTGAAAGCAGAGTTAACACATGTTGCTAAGCATTTGGAAGGGCACCTCAAGCTTCGAAGGAAACCAAGATCGTTCGGTTAGTTGTGGTTGCCATGTTCAAGCAAGGGTTGCCCACCTGTTTGCTATTTGAGCATCATTGAAAAGCGGGCTGCAAGTTTCAGGACACGAAAAACCAGTTCTACCCGGCCTCGGACCGCCATATCCGCTGATTTCCTGATGGGTCCAAACTAAACCACCACGGGATCCATGTTGGGGTTTTCCTATCTTTGACCCATGCCCAAAGGATCAGATCACTATAACCTCTGCACGCCTTCAGTCTCCATCTTGGGCTTTTGCGGTCGAGGTCTCGGCGCTGAGGTGAAGCCCAGCACCAAGGTCTACGAGCTTAGGCCCGGCGCCCGACTCCGGGTTCCGAAGCCCTCAAAACCGTGTTTGGTTTTTCACGGGGACCAGGCCGCGAGGGGCTCATGCAAGTACAGCCAGCTGGCTGTGGTCAGCTGACAAGCCAAGTTCGGCCTTCCCGCGACACCAAACAAGCCACAAATCCTCTGCGGATTGTGTGAGTTGTGCTGCGGGGCTGAGGTGGAAGTGTTGAAGATCCGAGGTAGCATCTGTGCGTCAAAGCCTGGCCGAAAATGGCCAGTGGCAGCGAATCTGCGAGGATGATGCCGTCTCAAGATTAGTTGTGGAAGGCCCTTGAATCAACATGAATCAACTTTGTTTCAGGCATGCAGCCCGACCCCGGAAGAGTTGGTTCACTATGCTCGGCATCTCAACGCAGACCGCGATGGTTGCTTTCCAGTTTGGATCCATCAACTTCCAACGTTGGGTGTCCACCTTTGAATGTCCCAATCCTCTCTCCTGATGCTTCAAAGGAAATCTTGAAATTGCTGAAATGACGGCCCTGCCACATTTCTGGAGTTTGATCCGATGATGAGCTCGCCCAAACCCACTGACTCGTAGATGTTCCCGCTGGCTTCAAACATAGTCTCCCTGTGTTGCCTGGTCACCGTCCAGTACTCTTTCCTTGGTGGCTCCCAGCCATCCCCTCAGCTTTTTAGCTGTTCAGGGTGTGGTGCGGGGTTCCGTTTAACCCATCAAAAGCGCTCAACTCGTTGGCGGATCTGAAAACGGGCAGCCAAGTTTCGCAAGGCAGCGAGCGCAGCAGCAGCTCCACGTGGGCCTCAAGGCTCTGGTGGCACGAGGCCGACTGCTGAAGAATGCCTGCACCCTGGGCGAGGCAGGACGGGCCCTTGGGGCTGATGTTGATGGTGTTTGATGGATACTAGGGCCCCCAGTAGTGCCCTGTTACCCTAGGATAGATGGACGGATAGATAAATAGATGGGGAAGCTCGACCTGTTCATTCTTTATAGCAAGCTCAATCCTGTAAACTCAGGTCGAAATCCGATGGCATATTACCTGTCAATACGTTCTCGTGCATGATTCCATGGATTCTTCTGGGGCCCAGCCCCCAGTCAAGGAGTTGTGTTGCCAGGCTTGCCCTCCGCTTCCCACTTGCTTGTTTCGTGTTTGCCGTTCGTTCAAAGAATGTTTCTTGCTCCAATCGAGGGCAAGAAAGAAAGCATATGATGATATGACAGTAAACACATATGTTTGTTGAAGAGGCACCGTAGGAAAGCTTCGATACATGATCCGAAGTGGGACCCCGTTGCATTTATTATTCTTAAATATCTCAATCGCTTTAAAAGAGGCTAATATATATATATATAATATTATATATATATAGCAGAAAGTGAGGCTGCTTTTGCCGCAGGCGGGCCTGGATGACGGGGACACCATCCACGCCACAGCCCGACCCGGGGCCAGCGCTAGCTGCTTCGGCTTTGGCGGAAGCCACGCCGCGCGCGCCTTCGCATCGATCCGCCGTGACGGGTCGGTGGTGAGCTGCTCTGCCTAGTGGATGTAGCGGTTTCTTTTGCTTTTTGAAGATGTGTCCATGTTCCTTGTAGGGTTTTGTTTTGGGGGTATGTCCCTTCCCGTGATAGTTGTATATATTTCGCCCCATGTTTCTTTTATGGAGTGGGAAGTCAACCGACCCAACACAGGACAAGTTGCGTTCTCTCGCTACTGGAGCCAGGCTGGGGCGACAAGCTCAGCGGCGGGGACTGCAGCGCGGTGCAGCAGAGCCTTACGCAGGCAATAGGGAGCTATGAGCGTGTGGGGAAGGTTGAAGTGGGAGAGCAGACAATGCTCAATTCTTGCTCCTTCGATTGCCAGTTTGCACAAAGTCTGGGAGGTGCTTGACTTGACTAGGTGTTTGTGTCGAACGACTCAAAATGAGGGACAGGGGGCTTGGCAGAAAGCGGCTGGAAGAACAGGGCTGGGTCAGATTTCTTTGTTCATCCCCCGTTGTCGGTTCCTTGGCATTGCTGCATCAACCATTGTAGTAGCCAAGCTCCCACTTGTGTGGAACTATTTCAGTGAGATCTCATGGCGCTAATGGGGCAGAATCTCCAAACGTGGGTCGAACAGAGCGCCAGACCATGCGCCAGGTGCGATGCATCCGGGCCTCCCAGGCAGGTGGCAACCCGGGGCCTATGACCTCGCCCATGAAGGTTCCTACGGTGCCCATCTCATGTTTTTTGTTGGGAGACTGCTTGAGCTGGCGTCCTTGACCTTTATGGCAAAATGTCACAAGTAGTCCAGACCTATTTGCCCTTAGTCTTCAAGCCCATGGTAGACTCGCTTCCGCCACTTAGGAAGACCATGTGAGTGGTGAACAATTCATTTGGCCCATCCACAGGTAGACTCAGTGGACCCGCCTGTCCGTCAGGCCGCCTTCACGGCGGTGCGGGGGGATGGCAGCTGCGTCACCTGGGGGGCGCCCTTCGCCGGCGGGGACTCCTCGGCAGTGCAGCCGGAGCTGCGCCACGTCAAGGAGATCTTCGCCTCCCAGGCGCCCGGGTCCCGGCAGAAAACCGTCGACGGCAACTTGGCGATCGGTTGCGACTGAACTGGGTTCCTCAGGTTTAGAGTTTTTGTTGGTTTAGTGGCTGTCCAGTTGACCCACCAAAAGTCTTCAACTTTTAGCAGGGGACCTGAAAACGGACAGCCCAGTTTAGGCGGGTGGCCTCCAAGGTCGAACAACGCTCCCGATTTTTGAGAAGCTTGAAAAGGGGAATCATTGCGGTGTCATGTCCATCAAAAAGGGTTTGCCCGTACCCGGCGAAATCCAAGTACGTGTGATGTTTTGAATGTGAGTGTGTTTTCGTTGAATCTCAACCAACGTGAGCCACCACTTGGCAAGTAGGGCCCGTCATGATGAATGTTCAGAAAGCGAAGCAA